ATAAACGGCATGTTAAATAAGAGTGAAATTTAAAAAAAAAAAAGTAAATGTAAATCTCAAACATATTAATATCAAAATGAAAATATTACCATTCCCTCTTTGCCACTTGATGACTCTGTATCCATACTGGGAGGCTGGTCCCCAAAGGAGGCATCGCTGAAATTCAGAAGAGAGATGAAAACATTTAAATATTTAATCCTGCATTTTATGCTTTTTTTTCCTATTTTCTTTTTTCAGCAAACACAATATGAGAGTTCACAAGCTATTCTGCAGACCCGTCTTGTTTTTCACCCATTACAAAGCAATTCTCACTTTCTAACTGAAGACATTCTGTTCTGCAACCATTTAAGCTACTTCAGTTATTATTCACTTCCAAAATGGACCTTATGCAGCCAGACTTAAGGTAAATTAACACTAAGAACTATAAATATACTAATTTAAAACTTGATCTTGGGGTGTTTTTAGACAACGCTGTTAGCTATCATTTGAATAAGTATGAAGTTCAAGTGAACAAATATAAACTGTCACGCTCTAATGTGCAGAGTTCAAGTGCTTGGTGCCAAGAAAAACGACATTTAACCGTCAGTAAATAAGGTGTAGATACTTTTTTGTGCTTTTAAAAAATTGGCTTTGTTTCATTTTGCTCGTGGCAGCCCGTGTGCACAACTATCATTTGTTAGCTAGCCGCTCTGCTAACGGTCTTCCTCGTGAAAACGCGCCTTATATGTCAGTGAATCTTTAATATGTGAACCGAATTACTATGACAACTTCTGTAATTTTCGGAAAAGGTGCACACATACCCGACAGCCAAGTCCTTTTCAGCTGCAGCTGCCGTACCCGCCTGCAATTCAGTCGCCATGTTTAGAAATCAATGAAAACAAAAAAGTATCGCGAGAGTGCAGCTTCCGCTTTTTCTTTTCGCTGAAAGCAATAGCGACACAGCAGGTTAAAAAGAGTACTGCAACAATTGAAGTCAACAATCAGCACTAAAACTTAAATTTATTTGTTGTAAATCATTATCCAAACCGTGCAGATTTGGAAAGAGAGACGTTTTTTTCCCATAATGTCTAAGTTCGATTACATTACTTTTTCATTTGACATTTATGCCTATATGTAACATATAATTTCAAGAACGTTGAAGTTTGTGGTTACAAAACAATGAAGATAATGTTTTGACACTGAAACAAAAAACTTTTTAACCCAATATATATAATTTTAATAGAAAATGTACCAAAACTGTTATTTCCCTTTTTTCAGTAATATTGGAAAAGGAACACAAAGGGTCATCAGGGTGTCACTCTTTACATTTATCATATTTTGTGACATTGGTAACCAGTAAAGACTGTCTTTTTGGTGTCTACTGAAAATCAATTATGTAAGAGGAAGTCCTTATCTTTCACAATGAGCTCTCCACTTTCACAGTTTCTGAAGATGCTGTGACATTTCATTTTTACTTGATAAAATGATCTTCCTCATCATCCTCCCTGCAGTGTTGTTTGAAAAGGTTTTTCCTGCTCTGTATTTTTGGAATTTGCGGCACATCACTTTTAACACACATGAACCCAAAGTTCTTTTAAGGATCCAGTTGTTGAGCCATTCAGATTTGACACACTCAAAATTAGACGCCTTTCTTCAAGATCCCATTTACATTAAAACTTTTTTTTAAAGTAGTGAAAAAACAGTTAATTTTTTAGGCAGGAAAACATAAATTTAGTCTGGCTTTCGTAAACACTCCACAGAAACTGCTCTACTCAGTTTCTAGTGACAGTGTCAGCTGACTCTACAGTGGTTTTCCCAGATCTTACACACATTGTTGTTACCAGTGTTGTATAGTACCAAAGTAAACATACTTCACTACTTTACGTAAGTATATTTTGGAGTACTTCATACTTTCCTCGAGTATGAACATTTTTGATGACTTTCACTTTTACTTCACTATATTTCCGAACTTAATTTCATACTTTTACTCCAATACATTTTCAATGTGTGGTTTAGTTACTCGTTACAAAAAAGCGACAGAGAGTGCTGCACCACACCTGAATAGAATAATTAAGTCATTAGCAAGGCTCTGGAGAACTTATCTACACAAGGAGGAGGTAATTAAGCCATTTTATTTCTGTGTTTTGTACCTGTGGCACATAAAAAAAACTGCAGGACAGTGGCCCTCGAGGACTGCAGTTTGACACCCCTGCTCTAGAGCTTTATAGCTCCTGTCTTGCAGAACATCAAGTGTTTTTGCAACCCAGACTGCATTTGACTCCCAGAGTCTGCTGTGTGGGATCCCATAGGGCTGAGTCTTAGGAACCACTCTCTTTTTTCCCCAAGGCAAAAATAATCAGTTTTTCTGGTGTGTCGTCTTTTCTATGCAGATGATATCCAGTTCCACTGATCCTTAGATCCAAATGAATATTCAATGTAGTACTCATTAATTAACTCTTTCCATTATGCTAAATAGTGACAATTACTTGCAGGTGAACTCTTTCTTATAAGACCTTAACCCTAGTTAATATCCCAGAGAGCAGAATTCAGAATATTACTTCACAGACTTGTCGTCACAAAGGTTCTCTCTAGTTACTCTCGTTAACCCCTTTCTTTAATTGCTTTCCACTAAAGAGTAACAGGAAACAAGGCTTTTTGTGGATGTAAGACCACCCCACACCACTCTCAGTTCTTAACATCTTTGCAGGGTTGTTCACTCACAAGTATGATTACAACAAGCACAATAGCAAGTGTGCCAGCGGAGTTTGCACAAAGGAGCACTGGAATGCTGAAAACCTCCCCTGGTGTTGTCTTAAATGCCCTCAAGTAGCTATTAAGGAGATAATGGTGGTGTGCTCTCCTCTTCTTCCCTCTCCTCGAGAAGATACATCTGTGACATTTGGATGAAGATGTGACTGTAACATTGTAAGTTAAACCACATGTTTATTAATTAGTACATCATGCAATGATTTTATGAAAACGTTTCCAGGTTGCGGAAAGAGATCATCTGAAAAGGGATGTTGTGCGTTTGTGTCCAACTCCTTTTCAGCACTTCCAGCTGTAAGTCTGGGATATGTCTCAGCTGACTTTGCAGATGAAGTTTTTGCCCACTCACTTTTGCAAACGTACTCAAGCTCAGAACAGGAAGCAGAGACACAGAACAACTGATTTCAGGTGTTTTCACAGATTCTCAGGTCTAGATTTTGCACATGAAAACAACTTGACCTAAACTATTTCACTGGCGCTCTGCCTCAGGCCGACCTGCATTAACCTATGAACTGCCTTATGTGGCAAAGGTTCAACATGGTGTCTTAATTATGTCATATCAATCGCAAAATTTAAATCATAATCCAAGTTGGGAACACTAAATGCATGACTGTGAATCACTTTCTTCTGTTAATCATTTATTCTCGTTGTTCTGAGTCTGTCCCTGCCTCTCTTGTACTGAGAGACAAAGCCCAGGGTCAGAGAAGGTCAAGCCTACTGTAGACATCTGCTAATTGTCCTGGTGGGCCGGCCTGTCCCGGTCCGACAATACCAGCTGCTCTGTAGGTGTTGGTAGCTGGGAGCGATGTGGCAGCTGTCACATTCAGGAACATTTACTCCTGTCCTGATCCCCCTCAGTGATCCTTACCTCCTCTACACTGCTGTAATCTGAATCCCCCCCACTGCTGCAGAGAGCTGCAGCCATTAAAGTTATTAGGAAACTATCAGCAGTAATGTGGGTTAAAAGATGAGGCAGTCAGGTTTAATTATAAAGGTAATGGAGATGTTCAAAGCTTAGTGGGGAGTTATAGAAGTAACAGAAGTATTCACAGACTTTGCAGTTACAATGTTTTGTGATTAATTGGGTTTTTATGTGACAGACTAATACAAACTATTTTGTAGTAAATGCTTTGTACTAAAACAAAGCATTATATATGTATACGTAATACCTATCAATAATTTATTATGCATTTATTTCTCTTCAGTTCCAATAGGACCAAAACTTCAGCGTGTCGCTGCAAGTGCAGCTTTTAGCTCGGCTAGAAAAACAAATTGATTTCTATTTGCGAAATGCCACAATAATGAGACAAAGAATATGTCAGATTGATTTTTTGATGTCTTCAAGATCAGAAGAAGATCTTGACCCGGTACCAGCAGTTCTGTCAGGAGGAATGGACCAGGACTCCAGCAGCTCATAGAAGGAAACCCTAAAGGTTTGACACAAGTCACAGGGTTTAGACGTTGAGATCCCTGAAGCTGGTCAAATAAGCCCTCCTTAACTTCAAAGAAAGTTAAAAAAAAATCTCTAAAATGATCTCAATTTGTTTTCTGGCATTTAGCAAATAGAATACAATTTTGGTAATTATCAATAAATTAAAATAAGAGAAGTTTGGTCTGATTTAACTTCAGACAGTGATTTAAAAAAAGTCTTTTTATGCAGTTTAAGCAAACCTCTTGTTTCAACTGTATGATCCCCAATATAATGCAATAACATGAAGACATGGGAAGACATTCACACTTTGATTGGTTTTGCAAAAAGGGATTGCAAGAAAGTTTGAATAATGAGATGTTCTGTCATAAAATTGTCTTTGCCCCCCACAAACACACACTGCACACAATAACAGGACAAATGGCGCTTTTGAAAACTGGAACACAAAGAAGAAAAGGTTCCAACTTTCCCCTCCATGGGTCTATAAATTAGCATCACAACGAGCCTTCACGAGTAAAAAATCTCCCATTTGCAAACAATGACAAGTCCGAGTACAAAAAGTAACACGGAGGGAATGAAAGGGCGCACATTTTGACCAGATGCCACATAATAATTAACAAGCTCAGGGGCCCCTCCGGATCCTCCTCATTTGCATCGTGAAGGGCCAGCACGGGGGTCCCACAGGGCCCCACAGGGCCGGAGCGTGTCTGCAAAGGATCCGATTGTTCCTGTGAGACGAATGGCCTCACTTAGAATAACGTGCACATCTGAAAGAGATGCATGTATATATATTGACTCGCGAGGGACCCAGGAGCAACACGCAGACATGCAGGCCGTTACAGTCAAATCGCCACAGAGCCAAAGAACACCGTTTTCAGTGGAGGATATCTTAGATCCCACTAAGTTCACCCGGAAATTCAACTCGGCTGGGGAGAAATCAGCTGAAGGTGGAAAAGCAGCTCAAATCTTATTTAATCTTTCAAATTGTCGATGGCTTTCATTGTTCCCCACCCCTTCTGTTATTTTCTCTAGAAAATCATAATCCGAATGAGGAAGATGGAAACACGCAGCGTCGCAGAGAGCCGCCGCCCCCGCTGGAGGTGAAGGGTCGTCGGATCCGCACCGCCTTCACCCCGGAGCAGCTGCGGCTTCTGGAGTGCAGCTTCCGGAGGAGCCGCTACCTGTCGGTGCTGGAGCGCCACAGCATCGCCGCGGCCCTCCGCCTGTCCGAGACTCAGGTCAAGATCTGGTTCCAGAACCGACGCACCAAGTGGAGGAAGGAGAGCGTCACTGTGCGGGGAGAGGAGGAGGAGGAGGAGGAGGAAGGGCAGCAGCGCAGCTTCATCCCGGCGTTCCCGTCCCACCCCGCGATCTGCGCGGCTCTGACCTGTGGGTCCCTGTACCAGCCGGGCCCCCCGGAACCGCTCCGGCTGGTTCCGACGCTGCCTCTCATGCCCTACCGGTACTGTTACACATAACTTCTCTGGATGCCAGACTGTGACTGTCCAGAAAATACTCCAATAGGAGACATGTGACACGTTTTCTACTTTATTTTTATTTTCTGATAAGAGTTTAAAAAAAAATTCCCTTAACTGATTTAATTTTATTTATTATTGCGTTGATATTTTGTTAAGCAGAAGTTCTGAGCAGCTCAATAAGACCCTTAAATGAGTGTCAGAATAACTGAACATTTTTGTGAGAATAAAATTGTTTTGTTTTGGTTTCACGTTTGTTTAATAAATTATCATGTGGAATCTCCTGTTGGTGTTTATTTTTATTTATTTACTTCTTTTTTTTTACACTTGAGGTCAAATTCTGTAAATTCAGAAATGTGGTAAAGATCAGAGTTATTATTTCCAAAGCGGCTTGAATGAAAAAAAAAAAGTCTGAATTACTTTACAAGATGAACAAGAAATCTACTCAATATGTGGTTAAAAAAATAATAATAGATTGCCTGTTCATCAACTCCTACACATGATGGATCGTAATAATCAGGTTGTTTTGAATACAGATTTTTTTCTCTTTTTTTTAAGGCTAATACAAAAGAGAGAAAAAATCTAAAGGTTTTATTTGGGGTCTCCATTCATACAGATGTGTATTACAGTTAGTAAAGCTAAAAATAAAATTATCTACTGGACTTCAAAAGATGTTAGTCTATAAATCAATTTAAGCAGCTAAGGAAAAGAAAAATGGTTGAGTGAATAATTTAATAATAAACTGACACCAGTGCCGTTTTGGTCAGACAGACATTATGTTTTTCTAAAATAAAATTCCTAAACTAAAAGCATGAATTTAAGTTTGTGTCGTGTTTATTTAAAAAAAATACTAAAGTAAAAAAAAAAAAGGTGTGGAATTCAAAACTTTGTTAAAGTTTGTTTTCCTGACCACTGCAGCGACAGTTCTGACCAGGAGATGGCGACAGATAACACATTCATACGAGCGGCTGATCATGGAAGTATCCATCAATGTCCAGCCAGCATTTTCACGTTTTTACCTATAAAGTAATATATTATTGGAAAGATGAAATGTCAGCATCATGGGAAAACAAAAAATATGCTTCAGAGTAAACTTTAGACTTTAACTGCATTGCTTGTTCAGATCCACACAAACAGGTTTGACTGAGATGTTCAGTTCTTGTCACACTGATGATCTTGTTACTTTTTATGTCCAATAAAAAAACAGCATAAAAGTGAAACTCCACCACTGAATTTGACCTTTTTGTAAAGAGTCTTTTATGACACACTTATCGCAAACAGAAACAATCCTTCTGCAGCACATCTGCATGTAATTTGGCTCCCACTCTCCTCCTCAGATGTCAGGCCATTTTCAACCCGGCAGCGTATCCAGCATAAACAGGGACAGAAACAAAAGCACTGGCGCATTTTAAAGAGCCATCTGGTGGCCTAAAAACCATTTCCATTTCAGAAGCCAGCTAATTTTTCACTGAGTAAAGTTTGAGACCATTGTTAGAATAAACATCATGGAGAGAGTAAATGGGGCATGCACAACAGCCATAGTTCTTTCCCCTCACAAATATGTACCCTGTGTTGGTCTATATCAATAAATCCAATAAAATATATTACTTGTTTTTGTGACTTGACATATATATGCGAAAGTTAAAAGTTAAGAGTTGTTACACGGCAGTGTAAAAATGAATCATAAGATAAAGTGCTGAGGGACCTTTAGGTCCTGAAGAGGATGCTGGAGTCGACCCTAAATCCATCTACACTGGAGATAATTACTGCCAGATGGAAGGGAAAGAAAACAGAGATAAAGGAGGCTTCTGACATCCAGCTGGAAAATTAGACCAGACCTGAGTTTATTCTAGGTTTCTGTTTGACGATTTAGATGACTGGTACAATTTTGTAGCATCTGTTCATTGAGATCAAAGAAGAGCCTGCTAATGCTAACGCTAATGCTAAAGATGAGGAGCTTTCATCACAGAGAAAGCAGTTTGCATTGTTCTGTTTTATCCAGTAGTTCTTTCCTAATGTTTTGTGATATTAAATGACCTAGTATTTTTTCTTTAACTCGTTATAAATGGGGATGACTTTGGACAGGAAGGATCTCCTGTAGTGGTCTGTATTACAGCGGTTCTGAAGGAACGTCTGACTGAAGACGTTGTTGTCATGAAGAGGACGCTCTGCTGTCTGTTATGTTGATAATGTCATGAAGAATCCAAATTTAGAACAGTTCTCTTTTTTAAGTCGTGCATTCATGACAAAAACATCTCTGCACTGGATCATCAGTCATTACTAAATGTAAATTTCTAAAGTTTAAATATATGCATTTCACCCACATCATGAAAGACTTGTTTTGCTAACAAGATTTTGTTAGGGAAAAATCACAATTGTGAGCTGACGCTCTTAAGGTGACACTTTTACTTTCAAATAAAATGCTGTATATATAAAGTATGACTTAAATTAAATGTTACATAATTCTAAGATTTAAAATGCAAGTCTTCAGAAAGAAACTACAGCTCTTTCTGAAACTCTGCCTTCAAGAAGTCATCACAACATGGCTCCTCTAGTAACCCTTTATCAATGATATTACCAGCATTGCACTGAGAAGTTGCTCCTATAATGAGCTTCACAGATGCATGGGTCCACCAGGTGTTTGCTAATTGCTGCTGGCTAGTCTGAAGGAGCTGAATGGGGGATTTCAAGGGGAGGGCAGCTTTGTTAGACAAAAGCTGAGAAACTTGGAAACTGTAGCTCCTGGGAGGAGCTAAGTCTCGAAGGTGCTGCTAAGTCCACCCAGATATTTTACACAGATGAACGGTTGCCATGGGAGATTAAAGGATTTCTTAATCATGCAAGAAAGAATAAAAAAAACATCTCTCCAGGTCAGTTTTGATGAGGGAATGAGATTATAAAATGACGTGAAGCTTAAAAAAGTCGATTTCACAAAATTTTGCCTCTTTGAATCACAGAGTTTTACACAGACACAGCAAACGCCATCATGTTCTTCCTCTTATTCTTGCCACAAGCGATTCCTCCGGCTTTGTTCAGTATGAAATCAGTTTTTCCCAAGTCATAATTAGCCCCCTGCATCAAGCAAACCAAGTCCTTTTCTTTTGTTAAAAGCCAAGCAGTCACCCTCCTACACTTCTTCCCCTTTTTCCTTCTGCTGTCTCCCTCACAGGAATGTCCTATGCATGACAGATGCTCCTCCCCTCTCCTGAGAGACGGGTGAGGGAAAAGAGGGGGTGAAGGGCTATGACGGATAAGTAAGAGGCAGCAGAGGAGGTGTGTGTGTGTGTGTGTGAGTGTGTTAAGTCAGCAGAGTTTTCTTCGTCAGCCTGTCCAAGCTCTCATTAGAGAGGAGGAAGCTCTCTAGACTCTTCCTTTTCATGTCCTCATCTCCAGACGCCTCCATTGCATCTGCAGGTCAGATGTCGAGCAATCTCTGCATCTAGTTTTGGGATTTACCCTTGCTGGAACTCACCCTCATGCTTTATTTCAGGGAAATGAGGGCTGAGGTGCTGGTGGTCTGGGTCGGGCTGAGCCTTTGTTGGGCTCTGGTCACCGCCGAAGAACCTGCGGAGGAGAAGCAGCTGTCAAAAGCCAAAGCTCTGGCGAGAGAACCCCGGGGGCTGATCGGAGACGGGGCCACATGGGACACTGAAATGTCAGACGGGCCAGCTGAAGTTACAGTAGAGGAGAAGAGCAAAGCAAAGAAAAAGAAAAGCCCTGAGGAAATCGAGGCCGGTAAGTTGGAGCTCAAGCAAAAAAATGTATCTATGAGTTTTCCTGACCTTCCCTGGCCTCTCATGTTGTCAGATGTCCCACTCACAGCCTTAAAGGAGGAGCGTGGAGTTGTGGAAATAAAGTTCTGTTAAAAGTATATTACATCATAACTGCAGTAGAAAATGCACTTGGTTTCTTCATCAGGCTGCACAAAATGGAAAAATCATGCAATGGCAAAACAATCTATAGCAATGACTGCGTCAGCTGCAATGCACACATTTTCCTTATTTTTCTTTAGCAATTCATTGTTGAAGAAAAAATCTCCATCTAATTTGCTGAATGAGCTGGAGAACAGGCACAAGGGGAGTTCAAATAACTAGTTTAGACAGACACATATGGAGACAGACAGGTTATTATTATTATGGATGAATGGATGGATGGAGGGATGGCATTTAGCAGGCTGATACAGTCTTCATTCAGTATAAGTTGGTCTGAAATGCTGAAGCAAAAGGGACCATGACCAAAGTGGATTTTTTTTTACAGTCTTAAAGTGTAACTAACCATCTTTAAAAAAAAAGGCTTATCTTCACCCCTTACAAATTTGGAAACATACCAGCAAAGTGGGTGGAGCCAAAAGACACAGAGGGGTGTGGCCAGGTGTGGGGCTCAACAAGCAGGGCTGTGGTCAGGTGGAAAGATGCTGTTACTTACTTCTAAACTTTGTTGCTATATTTGATGACTTTTAAAGCCTCTGTAGTGACTTCTTATACAGAAAAAACAAAAACGAAACAAAAAACAAGGAAATCTCTTTTTTTTTTTTCTTGTGTTGTTGGAGATTTTTATGGCAACGACGTTCTGCCGTGAGCACCTCCCACTTCCTGTCCTGCAGCATACTGTCACCGGTGATCAGAGCAGAGGAGAGTTTTTCCACTCTGTGTCCACATTGCATCACGTTTGTAAAGCTGAGTAACAGCGCTGATCAAAGCTTGCTGTGGCCACGCTCTCTATTCCAGCTATTGAGTCCTGATGACTCACCATGTGTCTGAGTGAGATGCCGTTATACCTGGATGTGGAGCAGAGTGACAGAGCAACAGCTTTATGGGCTAAAGGGGCCAGCACTGAGACGATGATAGGCAAAAATAACATGGAAGTAAACATGAAGATAGAACCCTGGATAACATATTTAGAAATAACTCCAGTGTCAAAATGTATTTGAAAATCATTTACAGAACAGGAAAGTGTTTACACGGAATATGGAGATAAGTGGTGGTGTGCCACCAATGGCCTTCCTGTATGAAGCAAGTATTGTTAACAAAACACAAAGCAATTTTATGTTCTGTAAAAGTCAAAAAAACAAATAATTTAACACTCATTTAAACTTCTAGTACAGCTTTGCCTTTGATTCTCCTGAGTGAACAAAGCAAATACGGAGGTCCATAAAAATGGTTTGCATAAAAGAATAATTTTTGGATTTGGATTCTTTGAAATAGAAAATTATTTTGCTATTGTCCTTTTTCAGACCAGCTGTCCACCTCAGCGTCCAAAACCAATTAATTTGAACTAATATTGAATGAAGTGAGCAAGGGAGTTGTCTGCTTAACTGCTTCAAACCTTTTTAAAAGAAGCACAATTAAAAATCCTGAAATGTCTCTTTAAATTTGAGACGGGAAAGTCTGCAATCAGTCTATGAGGCAGGCAGTCATTTAGTTTGAGAAAAAAAAAAAGAAAGAGAGAGAGAGAGACATGTGTCCAGACATTTATTTTGCTTCAGCAATATTTTTACCTCTCTGCAAATGTTTTCAAAAACAAAAGCAGATTGAAAGCTGCAGGAATGTTGTTTGGTTGAACATGTCTCTGATTCTGGGATGACTGGCCAGAATCTTGCAGTGATTCAGCTGGTGGTCTGACATTTTCCTGGCAGGACCGCAATGATACAACTAAGACATGTGTGGGTGTGGGTGTGTATCTGTGTGGCCTAGCGTTTTATGCACTATAAGAACAATGTTATGTTGTAGGGACCTCTTGAAGAGGTGCTGGTTTTGGGATAGAGGTTAGGTTTAGGACTAAGGTGTAAATTTAGTTTCGGTTGGGATTAGGGGTAGGGTCAGGATTAAGCTGGAGAAATTAATACAAAATGCATGAAAGTCAATGCAAAGTCCTAATATGGGAAAAATTACCCATATTACATCACATATAGATTTCAGGAGCTGGTTTTGAAAAACACAATGTTACTAATGAGAAAGAAAGTTTTTTGGGGGGGAAAGGAACATATAAGGCACATTTGTGGGGAAACCACACAGAATAACTAACAGCTGAAGTTTTTCCACTACAATTTTCCATAAGTTGGGAGAAAGGATTTACAAGAGGCCCCACTTACAGATACACCACTGCAAGGAGCTCATGTTGACTCTGCTCCACATTCAGCTAAACCACAAACCTGGCTACCTGTGTTTTCCATGAGTAACAGTCGTTACATAAAGGTCTGTACTTGCCTTTGTCTGTACAGTTCTGTTAGTCCTTGCCAAAATCTGAATTCCTTTATCTTCATTTTGCTAAGACAAACCGAGTGAAACGATCTGATTCAGAGTCTTGGCAAGAATGTTCCTACTGGCTTCTCTCTGCTCAAGCCCAAGCTCATCTTCTGAGTAACACTGTAATTTAATTTGATGCAGATGAGTTTTCATTTTAGAGTAGTGCTAGTTTTTTTAAATCTTCTATAAAAACAAAAAATATGCACAACATAAAAGTTTAGTTCCAGGTTACACCCTCATGAAATTTCAATTTATGTTTTTGAGAAACATAACTGCCTCCTGAAATTTTCCACATTTTGGAAGAAAATACCTTTATAAGCAACTTAATTAATTCATGTTTTATTCCCAGAACAAAACTCCAGCTGTGTTTGAAGAGATTTATTAGAGAAGGTTTGTGAACAGCAGCAAATACTTTAGTGGCTGCTTTACCATGAAAACACCATCCTCAAAGTTGCAGTATGTAACTTTTACAAAAATATGTTTTTTCATATTTATTAATGGTACATACTTAACTGTCGCCATATTGTGTCTGTATAAAATGAGATAGAAAATCTGTGAAGAAAAAAAAAAATCAAGCTTCTCCACCTCATCTCTGACCTATTGCCCTCTGAAGAAATGCACCGCTCCCAATCGAAAACAACCAATCAGAGCCAGGAGGGACTCAACGCTGTCAATCAACATGTGTATCAACGCTAAATGTGCTGAAGGCGAAGTAACAATTTACTTAAAATTATGTTAGGAAGGGAAGAAAATTAAGAAGAAGAAAACTAGTGGACTCATCACTTTATGCAGCAATATAAAGAAGAGGTGAATCAGAGGAGAATCATACTGCCAAATGACTGAAATATGACAAAGTGTTCTGATCCGAAAGGACCATGTGGCTATGCAGCAGAGTGGTCAGGTAATCCATAAGAATCGCGTCAGGAGATGGCAGATAGCTCCAAGAAGCATGAGGCAGGAGGGAAGAGTTAAAGTGAATCAGGCAAAAATATTAGCATGTGTGAATTCCCATTGTTTTTAATTCTTAAACTTCAAAATTAAACTAAACAAAAAAAGAAACCATATAGGTAACAGACCAAATACCCATGGATGATTTGTCAATGTCCCTCTACATCTGCTTCAACACCTGCAGAAAGAGAAAAGATTAACAGGGATAGGACGGGTTCTAACAGAGCGTTTTGCACTGGACCCAAACACACTCCTCTCCATGATAAGTCTTGATTCTCTGTCGTATAAAGAGGCGCTTTGTTTCTGCACAGACTAATCTACATGTATTTGATGCAGCGTCTGCCTGTGCTCCAGTCTGAACATGTTTTCTGATGCAGATTGATGGTTGCAGTAAAACACTTGCTGGCTATGTAGCAGTTAAACATCCACAGAAGTGACACAGCTGCTCTGGGTGGGCATCTTCACTCGCTGCGTTCTGGTTTCAATTAACGGATTATGTTTCCGTCTCCCTGAAGCCAAAGCGAAGAAGGCAGCAGAGAAAGAGGCTAAAGCCAAAAAGCAGAAGGCTCCGAAGCCCACCAAGAAACCCAAACCGCCAAAGCCCACCAAGAAACCAAAGCCACCCAAGCCCACAAAGAGGCCAAAGACGCCCAAACCCACCAAGAAACCAAAGCTGGTGACGACCACGGCGCAGCCGGAGCGCCGCCTTCCTCCACTGGAGGAGGAGGAGGAAGTGGGTCTGGAAACAAGTGAGTTGGCTTCAGATTTACGGTTTCAGGTAGGAGGAGAGTCAGGGGAGCAATATTCAACTTGATGATCTTTTTGCCAGAATACTCTGACTGTTCCAGTCTGTTGCTATAAAATAAAGAGATTTCAGTGTGTTTAAAGGTTTGATGTGATTTTTACAGCGAATCAACCCGAGTTTCCAACGGAGCCTGTTGAGCCAGACCTGGGTAAGAACTCCAGTTCCCACAGAAGAGGAAATCCTTACATGTTTTTTATTTTTATTGCAGTGTCATGATGTCTGAGAAAAGATTCAGCAAAATCCAACCATTTTTTAAATTATAAGTACTTAGTGGTGGGGGGAAAAAACTAAACATTAAGAATGAATAGTTTAAAACTATATTTTTGGTAGCGTAATTAAACCTTTCTAAAACAAAACTGGTGTAGCTAAAGTATTAATGCTTTTATTTACAGTTGAAACAAGATATTTACAGACAGTGAATAAAAAATTAAAAAAAATTCTCACTGTTTGAAGTTAAATCTGGCCTGACTTTTTTTTTGTTTCAACTTTGTTAGAATTACTAAACTATTTATATTTGTTAAATGGCAGAAAACTTGGTGAAAACATTTTTTTAGACATTTTTTGGAATTTTTCTCAAATTCAGAAGCTTAGATACATTTGAAACTGTATGAGTTTTGGCTTTCCTTTCACAAACTCCTGATACATTAACAGACACATGTGAGTTAATATGCCGGTGGATGTATTCTGTGAAAACATTATCAATTAACCGCTGAGGTGCCAGTTTAAAAGGTCAATTATAACTAAGAAAAAAACAACAAAAGCTTCATTTTAAAGTCTTTTCTTAACTTTAATTAGGGCCTGTTCTTTCCAGTCTCTGCATTTTGACCCCAGCTCACTTAAAAAGGGAGACTGCAGTGACATAAAACAAAGCCCTGTTTCCAATTTAGTGGAAATAAGTTCTTGCTTTTCTACAAAGCGATCTTGCATTTGAGCCAACAAAGCAAAGAAACCTCAACGTCCGCATCTTAATCAGGGATAGAATTACAATTTAGTAGCATTGTAAAACTAATTATTCCTCTGATTCAGCTTCATCTGCTACTAAAACCCGACACGGACGCGTGGGTTGCCAGATGCCGTTTTAATCAGCATTTTTGCTTCTGGAGCCAAAGCTTTTCCTTAAGCCTTTAACAACAAAGCGCTGAGGTTTCTGTGGGTTGTAAGTAGTGGTTGCAGATATTGGCAGGAAGTGGAAATTTTCTGTTTCCCGCCAAACGGATCTGCAGCTGTGATGTTTCCAACCAGAAAACAAACAGAAACTGCACCACGTGAACGTTTTTTTAAAACTCGACAGAAAGGTGTGTAATGACACTGAAAAACAACCGCAGCTCCCGACACTAAGTGATGGCTGCACACGGACGGCTCAACGGGGTTTTTGTTTGTTTGGGAAGGATCAGAAACACTTCAGTTTCTAAAGCTGTGTTTTCAGCCACTGTATAATTGTGCAATTTGGCATTTAAAAAATACATTTGCTTTGTGGACACATGCCAATTTCTTTATTGAAAAACACTTTTTTTCACTAGAATGACGTGAGTTCTTTATATCACAATCGGTGTATTTCGAAAAAACTGCAAAGGAAACACTTTTTTTCCGCATCATACGAGTCAAAAGACCAACAACCGGATGTTGCCACTGGTGTAAACTATGAAAAAGACGACATCAGGAAGTAAAGATCCCGGCACAGCATTTTATATTATCATCATGTGCTACTTTATTATTACATTCCTATTCAGTTTGTATTGTGTCTACAGTAAATGTGATTTCAGCTTGAAGTGAAGTTCAGATGACATTAAAATTCAGTACAAAAGTTGACTGTAGTTATAAAAATCTTCATATATGTGTGATGATAATGTGATTATTTCCAGACAAATGGATCAGAGGACACAAGAAGCAAGCCACAACCACTGAGGTCATCATGTACATACCAGGTAGTCCTCATCACACAGTGAATGGTTGGGATTTTATCATTGTTTCTGTACTGCAGATGCTTCTGTGTTGATTTTGTTCCCAAATAAGATCAAATTTATGTCCAGCTGTGGACGTCATTTGACCGTTCCTGCGGGACGAATTGAGGATTTGCTGGGAAATGAAAAGAAAGACACTTTCAACAATTTGACATGAATGAAAAGTTCATCTTTTTTCCAGTAACACACATTGTAGTGCTTGATTACACACAGACTAATGTTTTAATTTATTTGCCAACAGTAAATGAAAATGTGACATTTAGGATTAGAATCTTACAGCAGGTTTGTTTTCATCAGATAAAAGGGGATCTTACTAATGAGTGTTTTTAATAGTTGCTATTGTCATGAAGTAATTTTAATATGACAAACAAGCCTTACCAGAATGAATGTTCTAATTTATTGAATATTACTGTAATTTTACAACTGGCACGTCACAATCAAAACACTGCCACTTTTTTGGATTTCTGTATATTTATGGATTATTATTTTTTTAATGGTCTTGTGTGAAAAGATTACTGCTGGAATATCTGTATTATTTCTGTCTTGTTGTTACAGAGGAAACCACGTCTGTTCCATTCGTTGGTCCCTGGTATGAAGAGTATGATTACTCAGACTGTACGTCTTTAACCGGCCGAGAACTGGACAAATATAGAGACCGTTGTCTTGGTTGTGGCCGATGAGACACTTTCTCTGTGTTTTTCCAGTGGCTGAGGCAATAGCAAAGAAACAACAAGAGGAGGAGGAGAGAGCCCGCAAAGAGAAAGCAGAAAAAGGTAACCGATGGAAAATATTGATTCTTTTTAAGGACAAGGCTGCTTGTATGAGGGATCTACAACCACATGTATCTCTACACTTATGGCTTCTAATAACCAAAAATGTAAAACCATTGAGCTTCAGTAAATGAATGAATTGCCGGGGGGAAAGGGAATATTGAAGGATCCAATGGTTCTGCCAAAACACCATCAACAAGTTAAGGCTTGGCCCCGATTTTGTATAAGAACACATTAGCATTAGTAGGACAGAAAAAGTGGAGCTTGATCCTCTGTAAGTTAGCTCTGCTTGCTTTGTGATCCCACAGCTGAGCGGCAGAGGAAACAATGGGAGGAGGAAGAGGCAGAGAGACTGAAGCAGGCAGCTTTTCCCGCTCAGCCAAAAAGTAGGACATTTACGACACTGTTTGGACTCACATGGACTGGTTTGATCCTGAGACATTTGGCAGTGAGATCTGGCGTGTTGTTGTCATCGTGTCAGAGTGTCCTCCCCTGGGCTTGGAGTCTCACCGGGTGGATGACGACCAGCTGCTGGCTTCCTCTCAGTCTCACCACGGCTTCGCGGCCCAGAGGGGACGCCTCAACATGCAGGTAGCCAGTAGAAGGAAACCAACACCTGATAGCCTCCCGGCCCCCACCCAGCTGACGCTTTATGATCACACATGGGGATCATAATGTGTGATGTGTTTTACGGCCATCACCTTTTATGATGGCCATAAAACAGCCAAACTAATGGAATCCAAGCATATTCCTTTTGAAGGGGTAGCATTATGTCAAATTGACATTTTTGAGCTTTATATTATGTAATGTTTTTCCCACATCAAAACATACCTGGAGTGTTGCTTTGATTCATTCATGTAAGAAATCTATTAACACCTGAGTGGATCTAGGGCCGCCTTCAAGGCCTCGATTCCAACTTTCAGCCTCAGTGAGCAGTCCTTCCCACTCGGCTCCTTAAGACTAGCCAACAGCAATTAGCAAAAACCCGCACATCTGATGAGCTCTTTCTAAGGGCTACTTGTCAATGAAACACTGGCAAATACACTGATAACAGGTCAACAGAGGAGCCATGTTGTTATTACTTACTAAAGGCAGTAATAACTGCCTTTAGGAGTTCTTACTGCTAGTTTCAGAAAGAGCAGGAGTTTTTTAAAGAGACAGAGGCCCAATTTCAAGGCATCAAATCACAAAGTGAAGTTTCTTTTCAGTCATATTTGATGTGAATAGCATTTTTATGACAACTGGGGGTGACATAGTTACTTGATTATGTATTACGTACCTGGAAAAATACAACATACAATCCCTTCAGATGCTCAGAACAAACATGATGCATGATGAAGGATTTGCAGCTGTGGTTTATGAACTGTGTTTGCAGAGCTCTGAAGATGAGGAGGACATGTATGGAGGTGCCTGGTGTGCAGAGCCTGAGGACAAGGAGCACTGGTTCCAGGTGGACGCTCGGCGAGAGGTGGAGTTCACCGGCGTCATCACCCAAGGGAGGAACTCGGAGCAACTGTGAGTTTTGTTTAAACAGCATTTTAAAACTTTTTTTTTAAATCAATCTTTTCTCACAACACTGGATCACATTTCATAAATAAAAGCGTAATCTTAATAGAAATCTTATGATCAGTGGAAATGCAGCATAGGTTTGAGCTATTTTGCCAAGACCTTCCATCTCTAGATCTTGGAGCTTGGAGGATTGTGGACTCATGACTTATGTTCTAATTGCAGGGAGGATTTCGTATCGTCCTACTTTGTGGCCTTCAGCAACGACAGCCGGGACTGGACGGTGCTGCATGACGGCTACGCCGAATGGGTGAGCAGGACCTAAATACTGTACTCCAGCCGGAGATTTTCAAAGAGAAATCTCAAAATGTAATCCCTCTCTCTGTGCTTCCTCAAGCTCTTCTATGGGAACGTGGATAAAGAAACACCCGTAATGAGTCAGTTCGCCTCACCGACGGTGGCGCGTTACATCCGGATCCTTCCCCAGAGCTGGAACGGCAGCTTGTGTCTAAGAGCCGAAGTCCTGGCCTGTCAGCTACCGAGTCAGTGCAAGACAACAACTTCAGGACAAATAAAATTTACTCACTTACACCGTATTCCAAACTATTGTGCAAGTGATGTTTTCTCAGAGTTTCTTAAATGATCAATGCAAATGATGGTCAGTATAATTTTCAAGTCATGAACTATTGCAGTATCAATCAAATTTTACTGAACAAAGTTCCCCATGAGAACAGTATTTCTTGCAAACTTAAAAAACTCAAAATGCATTGTTAAAAGTTATTATGCACAACAGATTTTCTAAGCATATTATAATTATAAAGAACTGCAAACGGTCATTCTTTGAATGTGCAGCATTAAGTGGTCACATGTACTAAAATCAAAACCTATTTCAGTCAGAAGGTCCATATACTTTGCTGAGGTCATTTTTACACCTTCAGGGCTCTGAAGGGGCCGAAAAGCTCTCTCTCCTTTTCTCTCTCTCTTTCTTTGTCTCTGTCTTTCTCTGTCTCCTCATGATTTTGGCCCGAAGCATTTTATTTGAATTGTGGTCTGTGTAAATAATGTATTCATTCTTTTTTTTTTTTCTTTTTTTGTGACATTATGGGTGTTATTTTACAGGCAGCTACCACAGCGAGAATGAGGTCAACGCATCTGACGATCTGGACTTCAGACATCACAACTACAAGGAGATGAGACAGGTTTTGGACAAGACAGTGAAGAGGAAATCCTGGTCAAAACAAATCAGACATAAATGAGCAATACATTTGTTCCTTCTGTCATTTCAATGCTTTAGATGATGAAGGTGATAAACGAGGAGTGCCCCAACATCACAAGGATCTACAACATTGGGAAAAGCTCACAAGGCCTCAAGATGTACGCCATGGAGATCTCAGACAACCCAGGCGAACACGAGACAGGTCGACATTTACACGTCTTAAACATTTATTTCAGATCATGTCGTGGCATCGCAGGCAGGGTGATTACTTCACTGACGTTACAACTTTACCTCACCCCATCTTCAGGTGAACCCGAGTTTCGCTACACAGCAGGTCTCCATGGTAATGAGGCGCTGGGTCGGGAGCTTCTCCTGCTGTTAATGCAGTTCCTCTGCAAGGAGTACAGAGATGAAAACCCAAGAGTGCGACGCCTAGTGGACGGAGTGAGGATTCACCTGGTGCCATCGCTGAACCCAGATGCCTATGAGATGGCCTATGAGATGGTACCGTCCCCCAAGAGTCACGATACATGAAGGACATCTAGTTTAGTTTGTCTATTTTGAAATGGAGGGAAAATCTACATAAAATGAATATAAAAAGAAAGTAACACCTCAGAAGTATAAATTCTGTCTTCCACTTAGTTTGAAGGAATTTTAAATCACTCTTCATCTTCATCACACAACATTGCTTTACTGTTTGGATCCCTTAATTTGGGCAAAAATAGAGCCGTCAGATGCTCGGCTGCAAAGTGGCCAAATTTGAATTCCTCCTCCATTGTGCACGTCTCTTTCTATCAGGTGTTTGTACTAACATCGCATGGTAATGTCCTTTACATGCAAATTTCTGTATTTTGCTTTCATTTACCCAAAAGACATTGTTCCATCATGATTTATCATGATGCAGCTTTGCAAGACTGAGTTAGGTCTTTTCAAATAAGTTAAACATGTTGAGTCTTTCTTCAGTTCAAACTTTAAGATATTGGAACTTTATGTCAGCTTGAAAGCTCATCTGGCTGGTCTTCTTCACTTTCAAAAACTTCTCACTATTTTGATATAAAGAATGGTGTCCCTCAGGGACTGATCATTGGACTACTCTTCATATCTTCATGGAAATGACTCAAATTAAGTGTTGAGGACATGGTGATAATTTGACTCTATTTTAATATTGTTCAACTTACCAAACATTACTTAGTTATTATTAGTTTTTGTATTGTTTAAAAATTATTGAATCCTTGATGCTTTAAAGCCAAAATGTCAGACAAAGTGTTGCTTCTGTTCTAGAAAAGTGAGTCATTGATAAAATCTACATATGGATTTTCATATTGTCCTCCTGGTGTCCTGCAGGGCTCAGAGATGGGAAACTGGGCTTTGGGTCACTGGACTGAAGAAGGTTATGACATCTTCCAGAACTTCCCAGACCTGAACAGCATCTTGTGGGGAGCCGAAGACAGAGGCTGGGTGCCTCGCATTGTGCCCAATCATCACATTCCACTGCCAGAGAACTTCCTTGGTGGCTCTGTGAGTGTGCAAACACCAGAGGCTGATTCTGTATTTACCAAACTTCCACAAATATATTAACAAGTATTTCTTTCTGGGCCTGTATTTTAGCTTGCAGTTGAGACCAAAGCCATCATTTCATGGATGGAGCGCAATCCATTTGTGCTCGGAGCCAATTTACAAGCAGGAGAAAAAATGGTGGTGTATCCCTTCGATATGCAGCGTCCTCCAATTTCTGTAAGGCTAATAGGATATAGAACATCGTGAAACATCTTCCAAAATGTGCACTCATTGATTCTGTGTCGTCTCGCATTGTTAGTTAACCGACAGTCGGCGTTGGAGGGTTAACGCTGAGATGAACGAAGAGACCTGGGCTCGTATTCAGAGGCAGAACGAAGGAGCGCTCAGAGAGACTCCTGATGACGCCATGTTTCGCTGGTTGGCAATGTCATACGCACACAGCCATCTAACCATGACTGAGACCTATCGGGGATCCTGCCACGGTGATGATGTCACTGGAGGACAGGGCATCGTTAATAGAGCCAGCTGGAAACCAGTGGTCGGCAGTGAGTAGAAGATGGCAAATAGCCCAAAGAGGAATGGGCACTTTTTGTGTCAAGGAAATCAGATGTCCTTGTCTGACAGCAGGGAAGCAGAGGAGGGTTGTCCCAGCATCTTTAGAAACCGTCTAAAGAAATTAGTTTTATTATTTGACCAAGAAAAGCACTGGGGGTTCAATATCCAGGCACCATTTTCCCACTGCAATTTCCCCTAGGCTCAGATATTATCTGAACCTGTTTCACATTCAAGATTTCTCCTAACCCTCGTCCAATGGATACAAGCATCTCCAATACAACTCTTACAAGCTGACAATAACAAGCTACATGAATCTCCTCCACAGGTATGAACGACTTCAGCTACCTTCACACCAACTGCTTTGAGCTCTCCATCTTCCTCGGCTGTGACAAGTTTCCTCATGAGAGCGAGCTGGCGCTGGAGTGGGAGAACAACCGCGAGGCTCTTCTGTCCTTCATGGAACAAGTGAGCACAAATTCATTCATTCATGGGGAAGAGAGTTTTATATTCATAAATATTCAGAATTGTTTTTGTAAAAAATGACCCGAAATCAAATCCTGCTCTGAGATGATTTGCCTTGTTGTTCCAGGTGAATCGAGGAATAAAAGGTGTAGTGAGAGACATGGAGGGAAACCTGCTGCCTAACGCCACAATAACCGTGGAGGGAATCCGGCACGATGTCAAAACCGGTACGTTTTGATCAAGATTTTATGTTTCACACAAAGTGGTGTGTGCTGTGAAATGGAGGGAAGACATGGTTTGCAAACCTTCTCAAGATGTTTTATAACTTTCCTCCAGCAGTTCTTCCATAAAGACCAGATTTAGAGTGTGCACCACTAACAATCCGATTCTCTCATCAATGTTCTCCTTGGCTAACATACCAGTTCAGGTGGATGTCCACGTCATCATTCTTCCAGTTAACAGCTGGATCCTAATTTGTGCCAGTCACATAAAATTCCATTAAAATACAGGGAAGTTTGTGGTTGTAGCATGAATGGATGTTCAAAAAAAACAAAAAAACAATGAGGGTAGTTATTTTAGCAAGGTTCTGTGTTAATTAAATGTGTCTTTCTAGCTGCCAGCGGAGATTATTGGCGGCTGCTGAATCCCGGTGAATACAAGGTGACGGCCAAAGCCGACGGCCACACGCCCCAGACGCGGCTCTGCATGGTGGGCTACGACACTGGAGCTACGCCCTGCAGCTTCACCTTAGCCAAGTCCAACTGGAACCGCATCAAAGAGATTATGGCGCGCAACGGGAACAGACCCATTCGACTCGTCACCAAAACGAACAGGGTGAAGTCGACCGCTTCGAGCACCACCGCACAGCCCGCCGTCACAGGGGAGGAGAGTCAGGCCAACTCTCAGAGAGCCGAGCGACTCAGACTGATGCGACTCAGACTGATCCGTCGACGGTTGAGGTTAAGAGGCAGAGTCACCACCACCACCACCACCACCACCCTCCCAACAACAACAACAACCACAACCACAACACAACCGCCTGATGCTGAGAGCACAACCTCCTGGTACGAATCTTGGCTTTCTGTGGACAGATATACAGAGAACCCGTTTGACACCTTCATATTTGGTTCGGCGCCTACGCAAGAGTATAATTTTGAATACACCATTGATTAGCAAAAATAAACAAATAAATAATAACTCACTATCTATCTGCACAACTCCTCAGTAACCACACATTACAAACTACTACTTCTACCTACAGTCTTTTAATGAGTTTTCTAAAGGTCTTTGTGAAGAGATGCACCAAAAAATTGTCAGATTTTCAACTCGACTGATCCGAAGCAGTGACTAGTAAGCCGGGAACTTTAAATCTGATCAGTAAACGCACCATGTCAAAGAGCTAACAGTTGAAAATACAGATGTCTGTGGTTTGAAAGCGATTGCTTAGACTTTCCAGGCCTACTTATGTGCTGGATAATATTAAGACAGGAAGCACAGATGTAAGATAACAGGAAGGCTGAACATACACTGCTTGGGCAAAGAAAAAACTCACTCACTGTACTGGACTAAGTAAAGTGGAACAAGTTTCCTCGTAGATAATTATTGCATAATCTTTGAGTCAGCAACAAGTTATTGAACCCCAACTGATGCAATGTGTAAAAATTATGGTGAAAGTCATATCCTGTGGTTGAAGAAAAGATAAGTCTTTAAGAAGGGTCAGTTTATTGGCATCAAGTAGAGAAAACATCTAAGGAGATTGCAGAAGCTTCTAAAATTGGGTTCAGAACTGTCCAACACTTTAAAAACTGGAAGGGGAGAAAACCTGGGAAGCAACGTCCCCAAGGAAGACATACGTCCTCAAGGAAGACATATGGTCGGAAAAAAATCCTGAATGGTCATGAGCTGCGATCACTTAAGTGTTCGGTGACATCAAACCGAAGACTAACAGTGGAACTCGATGCAATGTTATGTTTAAAAACAAAAGCAAGAGCATTTTCACTCTCACAATGTGGAGGCAACTGAAGGGACTGGGACTGAGCAGCCGTGCAGACATAAGAAAACTACTGACGAAGGAGGAAAACTGGAGAAAAAGGAGCATAAAAAGCGATTTAACAGGGTCAGGCAAGTGATGCATCCATCATGTCTAGAGTCTCCAGATCATTGCATATGATCACGAGTTGCTGCAGTTCTTCCAGTCAAGGTTTAGGTGACAACTTGAATAGACTGAATGACCGGGTTATTCAGACTCGTCCTCCAACTCAACCACAGAATCCATTAAAAATCTTTGGCATGTTCTGGAGAAGTCTTTGCACAGTGGCCAGACTTTCTGCATCAGCAGTAAAACATCTTAGTGAAGAATTCATGCAACACTGGATGTCTCTATCTCTGAGTTTTCAGAACCTCATCAAACTAAAGGTAGTCTGGGGATGCATTAGCGTGTGGCCTGTGTTTTTTTGACCAGGCAGTGTGATACAACAACGTTGCCCTGTTCTATCCTCGAGTGTCCGATCTCTGTCAGTCATTGAACATGCTGGTTTTGGGAATGTTGTCAGAAATGTGGAAATCTCCAAATTAGAGGATCGGAGTATTCTAGAGCAGGGTCTCAAAAGTCGAAGCCTGGTAACCTGCAGAGTTTCGACGTGTCCCTGATCCAACACACCGAAACAAAAGGGTTTGGTCTCCTCACCAGGTAGCCATGTTCTTTAGATATCTGTCAATGACCTAATTATTTGACTTATGTGTGCTTAAGCAAAGATGATGCATCTGAATGTTGCATGTAGGATTTTTCAAAGCGTAGTTTGACGTCAGTTTTCTCGGTAATGAAACTGAAGATCGACGCCGACAGTCGCAAATGATAAGTGGCCAATCTGAAGTCTGTAATCAGTTTGATTTTGTTTCAAAGGCATTAAACTAATGTTTTAAAGTAACACATGGCAAAATCTTCACAAAGCCAGAGACTGAAAAATGGTCACAAAACTGGGATCAGTGCCTCTCTTATGAGTGAACAGAATGGATTTTTATGAGGCTTTCACTTTAAAGTTATCACTGAATAATCTGTGATAACTTTAAAGTTAGGAGAAACTAAGGCAGTTTGCTGAGTTAGAGTCAAATCAGATTGAAAGTACAGGTACATGTTTAAAGATTGAACATGTTCAGTATTCTTTATTACTCATTAAATAAAGTTAAATTCATATACTATACGGACTCATCATACATATAGTGAAATATTTCCAACCTTTATTTTTGGTCATTTTTGTGATTATGACTTACAGAAAATGAAACTCAAAATTCAGTGTCTGAGAAAACTGGAATATTGTGAAATATTGGAAATCATGATGTCCCAGTCTAATCAGCTAATTAACCCAAAACACATTGAAGCTGTAAAGGTTGATTGGCCGTCAAACTCCCTTTCACAATATTCTCCATTTTTTAGATGCATCTCTACGTTCCACTGCAAACCAAACAGAACGAGCAATGTTTTCATAAGCGTTTTGTTTTTGTATCGTCTATTTTTTTTACACTTATTTCTTGTAATGGCTGAAAGCATTGAAATAAAATACAAGCTGAGGCGTCGTGGATGGAGGGGAAACAATAAAGGTTTAAATATACAACCGTTTGTCATGATCAAACTTTCATAAACATTTCATGAATCATTTTTATTTCAGTTCACGATTAACGTTTCAAAGTTTAATAATGCAAACAGAGTTTGGAAATGCAAAGTCTGTTTGCATTTCCAGTTCATTTCCAGCCGTACGAGAAATTTTGGAAAATACTGCAGCTTGAACGGTAATGACATGGGAACTTTCCATCATTTTCCCAGCTGGATCCAAGATTCAAGCTCTCAATTGTTACAAAAACAGCCAAAACTGGTGTGAAGAAATTTTACTTTCAAACATTTTCAAATTATTTCGAAAAGTGTTTTTTATGCGATAACAGGACCAACGATGAGTTTGTCAGAATCCAGAAGCCCATGCCTTTTGTTCAAAGCCATATGTCAATATGCAGAGTCTGTTGTGTCTTCAGTGTGTTTATGATCACACACCATCCTCATAATGATGGTCTCTGAACAGGTGAAATACTCAGAACTGATCTTATGGCTCCAGCAGCTATGATTTGCCGCCTCTGGCTTTTTTGCTTCCAGTTCGTTTGTACTGGAAACTCTTGAGCGGATTCCTCCCCCGGACGTTTTTCTGCCAAGGACACAATGACTCTTTTCAGTTTATTGTGAGCCGAATGAAATCTGATTACATTATTTGGAAAACAAAACAAAAAGACAAGAGAACTTCGGAAGAGAAGAACATAACACATGAACTAAATGTACACATTCAGCTGAAAACAGTCACTTCAAAGTTCATTATACTGCAATCTATGATCTTTTATAAAAATATGAATTACTGCATGTTGTCTGATACCATTTAGTCAGACAAGGGTGACGTTTTAAAATAAACTAATTATGTTTCTTCAAATCCACAAGATATTCATTTAGAAAAATGCTTACCAATGTAATACACTAAGATTGAAACTTTCCAGGATTGTTTGAGCTGCTCTTCATAAACAAGACAAGTATTACGCTGCTCTGGTTTCTGATCTGCAACCAACCTTGAAGCTGCTTTTCACCACTCCCTCTGCAGCTGGTCTTATCTTCCTCTTCCTCCTCCTCGACAGTGGATTCACCACGCCACGCAGAGTCTCAGGAACTGCAGCATAAGTGTGAAACTGACGCGTTAGCTTTGATGGACGCCGTCCGGCTGATGGACAGAAGCCTGAGCTTCTGATTATGTGAGGACAAATCTGTCCAACTGCAACATCCGGTATTTATAAGGCTCCACAATTATTTAAATCAAACATAAGGAGAACAAAACCTCACAACTGACTCCTCCATGTTATCATTTATAAAAAAATACAAAATAAAACTGAAAGAGCAAATGTGAAAAACTAACTGCAACCCATAATTCAAGATCTTGTAGAACCGACTTTCGTCTATATCATTAGCTGCGTTTTCATTGATCACATAATTGCATAATTTGACAAACTGAAAATGAATTGGCTTGACAGAAACATGGGAGATTTCATAACTCTTGTTTGATAAAACGTTTTGGTGACAGGATGAAGTGTTTTTGGTTTTTTCTTTTGGCCTTATCAAAATTGATGTATTTCACAAAACTGCAATGGGAACGCATTCTCCACAACCACATGCTGCCACTGGTGCAAACCACAAAGAAGAAGGTTACAGGAAGTAGTTGTAGGATCATGAAACAGCATGATTTTAACCACTTGTCACATGAACAAACTTACTGATGTGTGATTTAAAACTGTGTTCATTTAATGTAAACGCTGCAAATGCGAAATTGCGGTTTTTACTCGACATTAGCGGAATATGAATGTTTTGTCCTAATTTATTCTTGAATTGTGGTCAGGCTCCACTTTAAACACCCCCAGTTTAGAATAATGACTTTATTGGACCAGGAACAAGGAGTGCACCTGTCACAAGCAATTAATCAATTAATCACATGATGCATTAAAATGAGCTGAATTATTTTCATTTTGGTGATTGATCATTACAGAAGCATCATGATCCATTTTATTTATGGTTTTGGTTGATATTTAAAATGTCTTCCAGTTCCAGGGTTAAAGGTTCTTTGCAAAATTAAAGTTTGTTAGTTTTTGAGAAGCTGAATTTGCATTATTATGCTATTTTCAAGACATTACTTGAAAGAGTTCTCGAAACAACAATATTATTGTTTGTGGTAATAATTATCAGAACAATTTATCGTCCAGTAAAATGTGTGATGAGTCCCATCAGTGCAGTACTGTGTGTGCTGTACATACTCAGATAGTCGGGGATGTTTTTCATGTGAGGCTTGATGACGGCAGGATGAAGGTCTTTGTCGTGTCTGAGCAGCTGCAGATCTCTGGGGTTGTCTTCAAAATACGTCTGGGTGAGAGAGCAGAGTCGTCGGTTCCAACATTATGTGAACATGGCCTCCGTTCCTCCAGACCGCCCCTCACCTTGAGTTTCTCCGAGTTGAGCAGCTCCTGTTTGATCTCCTTCAGTCTGGCCTCCTTCACGGCCTGCTTCGTCACGGCCCGCATGGCGTCCTGTCAAACGAACCGGGACGGTGAGCTCAAGCGATGACACTGACCGTTCTGCAACCTAACAGGAAGCGACGAGGACTCACCCTGCATCTGTACCGGAATCCTTCGATCTCCTCCATCTTAAACTCATAAGGTTGGAGCGCCGACTCAGCTTTATCTGAATACAGGCACGCTCCAGTTATCACCAAATAAAAACTAAAGAATGCTTCTGCAAACGTGTTAGCTGCAGGATCTTGACTTGGACACAAACACATTTAAGACAGAGTCACCTCCACCCAGGGCCTCCTCCACCTCTGCCAGGGCATCGAGTTCGGTGTGAGAGATGAACGACAGGGCGGTGCCTGGGTTGTCAGCTCTCGCTGTTCTGCGATCAGAAAGCGAAGGACATGTCTGAAACGGCACAAAGGACGGAACACAGAACCTGAAAGATGTCTGACCGTTACCGACCTTCCGACCCGATGGATGTACGAATCAACAGACGTTGGGAAATCAAAGTTGATGACATTGGAAACATTTTGGAAATCCACGCCCCTGGAGACGCCGTATTCCTTATCTTTAGCCCTGAAAATCCCCGATCACAAAGAAACTGTCAACAACAGGTGACTTTTTAAAAGTTTTCAGAAATCCATACCACTGATCTCTTCATTCATCAAACGCAGGACTTCTGCAAGATTCACCAACTCAAAATTTAGACTTTTTAAGACCTTTATGAATGAAATGTACAAAAGAAAATCAGATATTTTATATATATTTTTTTCTAGTTTGTGTTTCATTCTAGATGATTGTCATTCCACCAACCAGTGATAAATTTGCACTTAACCATCATAGAAGCAAAAAAGCCAGTTAGCTAGCAAGTGGATATCAGCAGCTAGTTAGCAATAGCCTGAAACCCTTTGAATCACAGAATAATGATGATGTCAGTGTGTGACTCAAACAATCGCACATATAATGCACAAAACTAGATAGTCCTACCAGGACAAAATGTAAGTGAGTAATGTGTTTCAGGCCAGCTTACATTTTCTTTAATGAATTGAAAACATTTTGAAGTCTCGTTTTTAGATAAACAAATTTAAGCCATTTTTAAAGAGGCAGTAATTTGTGTTTTTTAGGCAATTAGTGTCACTTTATAGCACAATGAAGTAACTATGTTAACTCACTTTTCTGCTTTCGCTCTGCTATTTTTCTTCTTCTCCTTTCCTGAGGAAGACGCGGCATGTTCAACCAAGCTCTGCTCGTCGGAGGCGATGATGATGTCATAGAACCCCTGGTTAAACTGGCTGATGATGTGGCACCTGCAGAGGAGCACAAACAGCTCTTTATTAAATGTTCTGTAGGAATCTTTCATAACATCTTTAGAAAGGAATCAGCATCAGCGGCCCACCTGGACTGGACGGGCAGCTCCGAGTTCAGGACGCATGCTGGGATGGCGAACTGTTCCAGAAACAGTTTGAGTCTGTAGCTTCGGTACACTGTGGCCACAAACAGCAGCGTTTTCCCCTGGACCAGCTGCAGCTTCAGCAGCGTGTAGATGAGCAGGAACTTGTCCTCCTCTTCGCATTTGATGGTGTACTGCTGCAGCTGGCTGCTGTCAGGCAGCTGGGAGCCCTGGAGCTTCAAGGTCACCTGAAGAGACACAAAATCTTTTGAATTTGGGCAAACATTACACATTATACATTGGAGATGTTTTCATGTGCAGCATGAAACGGAACACTGCAGGTTTCAGCGCACATTCCTGCAAGAATTTACATTTTTTTGAGTTTACATTTTTCGTTTGTATAATTTTTCTAGGGAAAAAAAAATTAACAGATTTGTTTGATGGAAAATGTTGCCAAGAATAAAAAGCAGCTCGCAAAAACAAGCTTTCAGGATGTGAAATGTATAATAATAATCATAATGATAATAAAGAGATTACCGGGTTGTGCAGCAGCAGCTCCTTTAAGGCCTGAACATCCTCGTTGAAAGTAGCCGACATGAGGAAAGACTGATAGATCTTTGGCAAATGGCTACAAAAACATGGAGAAAACACATGAAAAAATGTGGTTTTGTTTTCATTTAAGGTCACACAAACAACACACAGCTTCAGTAAGCAGCCCCTCCAGATTTATGTGATTTTGCAATTGCAGAAATTCACACAAAATCAACAGATTCTTGCATTAATTGTGTAAATATTCCCCCCTTTCTAAATGTCGGACCTAATTCAGGCAATTGATGTTTCCAAAGCTCCAAATTGGGAAACAGTCACTCCGGTTTTTTATGATTTCACAATAGAGAAAACTTGTGCAATAGGATCAAATCCACACATTTGTGCATTTCTTGCACATTTTCTGCAAAGATTGCAAGAAACAATGCTTAAAAGTAGCTTGTAAAAACTACATTTATTTTAAGTTGCTTATCATTTTCTTATTAAAAATCAGTTCAAGAAGAACTGATTTTCCTCTATAAAATTAAGGTCAACTAAATTTTCAACTGAAACTTAAATTAGAAATAACCCACAGAATCATACGTTCAATGTCTTGGAAAAACTAGAAAATAGTTTCCAGACTAAAACCAAAAACTTTTATGCTGCAGTGTGTAATTGTCAAACAACAGAAAAATGATGCATTCTGTTCAATTTTCTTTTCTGATTAGAAGTCTGGAAGGTGTTGCAGGTATTAGTACTCAGTGTATACATTGTTCTTAATGTATAATATACGTCTTGTTCTCACCACAGCAGGTTCTTCAGGTCAGACTCGAAGCCGAAGGAGAAAACCAAGTCGGCCTCATCTACCACCAGCATCTCCAGGGAAGAGTGGAGCGCCAGGTTCTGGGCGTTGAGGTGGGCGAGAATGCGGGACGGTGTCCCCACCACCACATCGGGCTTCTCCATTAAAATGGGTCTGTTCAGAAACAAGATCGCACACCCACCGTTAACAGACAGGAAAATGTTCAGAGCATCCATCATGCATTTTTCATCATTTATTATTCTTCGACGAACTTAAATAGCTTCATCGTTTTGTTACTGTTAATCACAGGCTGGAACTTGATGCCGGAAGTGTAAGAGTAAAAATACTGCCACCTGCAGGGGGGAGTTAGCCACGAAATACAACTTTTTTTTTTTTCTTTTTACCATTTTTACAGAAAATTTGCAATAAATTCACAATTATGCATCAGCACAAATAAATTTTGAGATTTGTTGATTTTGCGTGAAATTTACAACAACAAAAAAACTAGAGGGACTGATTTTTATAACACTGATTATAACAAAAAAGTCACATGTTCCAAATACATTTTTTTCAAAAGTACCAATCTGATTCAAAGACTTCATAAAACACAGAGAGAGCCCTTCACAATCTGGCATTAAAAGGTTGGAGTACATAACTCATATTCTGAAATAAGCTGGACCCTATTATAAACAAATAAATAAAGAAAAACATCAGTGAAAATGAAGAAGATCCTATTCAAATATTGAATTGAGCTCTGAACATAACGGGGACATATGAACTTTAATTTAGTTTTAAGGTGTGGAAGCTGACATTAGAACTAGTTCGGGTAAAAAAGGTGAACTTGAATACCAACCACAGTGGATGGCTGGAAAAATATAATGTTGATAAGCTGACTAATATCTCACTCTCTGCTGCCGTCTTTATGGTCAGCAGACCACATCATTCAACTTCATCTCAAATCAATTCATATACAGGAATAAGACAAATTCAAAGTCAGTGTCAGGACAGTTATCAAATACTGCAGTCAAGTTCAGCTTATTATTAAAGATGGTAACATTTTTCTATCGATGGAAACCCAGAGTCGCTGACTACCCAGCAGTCACTTCTCCTGAACAAGCCTGACGCGACAGACCAAAGTCTAAAGCAGGAGAATCTCTAAACAGATCAACAAAAACAACCACTAGATTAGCTTGTCAACTCTGAGTTTAAGACAACATAAAACGGAAAATGGTTGCATTTAGCAGAGGAAACGCAGGATGTTCCAAAACCAAAAGACTCACCTCTGCGTTGACACGTCGGCCTTGCCGGAAATGTCTGCCACCCGGACATCTCTAGAACAGAACGATGTCAACTGTCTCATCATGGTCTGAACCTGCTGACCGAGCTCTTTGGTTGGCACCAGGATGAGAGCTCTCACATCCTGCTCACGAACGCTCTGAAGACAAAAAACAAACAGGGAAATAACCACGGAAACGTCTCGAAGCAGGAAAAGCTGATCTTTAGTGTTTCATAAAGCGCCATAAAACAGAGTTACATTACACAATGTGTGAGACAGGATTCCTACCCACCTGTTTGGAGGCCAGGATGCGCTGAATGATGGGGATAGCGTAGGCTGCGGTCTTTCCGGATCCGGTCCGCGCTCGAGCCAGAAGGTCCTTCCCCTCCAGAGCCAGAGGAATGGCCTTCTCTTGGATAAGGGTGGGCTGAGACCAACCCAGATCGGCCACCGCCTGAGCCAACAAGAGTCGGAAGTGAGTGCCACAGAGCAGGAGATGATCCAATGACATGCCATGAATAGATTACCATGCCACTAATTTTACTTCATATTGTAACGCTTGGGTTGTGTTCAAGAGAGATGAACGTTATTATGTCTATTTTGTCATGTTGAATAAATAGCAATACTTGATGATCAATTATTTTAGCACCTAATTTAGAAACCATTTTGACAATAAGAGCAAAAAAATTGGCATTTCGCAAATTTTTCTTTTAAGGCTTTCATGGAATATTAGAACTACAATAGATGCCAATAAATTATTCAGTTCTTTATACAATAATAATAAAAAAAAACATATTCCCTAAAATGTTTTTTTAATCATCTTCAATGCAAAATGTTTCTATTTTTTGTGCTTTTCTTTCAGCAATTGTGTCTTTATACTCCAGTTCATGATTATTTGCTTACTTAAGTAGTAGAAAATTATTTCAATGATCGATTCATCATTGAATCGATCATTGATTAATGATCGATTCGTTCCACGTGATTAATCGTTCCAGCCCTAGACGATGTGCGCTAACAAACTGAGCTAACACGTTAAATCAAGCAAATTTATAATTAGCATTAACACGGCAACCTTACAGGTTTGGTCTTTGTCACGTCATCAAACCCGTTTTAATCTTAGACAAAGACAACAAGAGTAAACCAAACACAAAACCCAGCAGTTTGGTTGCGCCATCCTTAGTGGCAACGACTCCAAACCAGGATTTCTAACAACCAGAGCAATCAGCGGAAGAACGAAAAACACAAACACAGAGATCACATGGAAGGAGGCAACAACTACAACACACACCAACATGGAGGCCAAACAAAACACACCATCATTTTATTCCATTGGAAAGTTTAGTGTGTCTGTCACTCCGTTAGGGTGGTTCAGAAATGTAAAAAAATGAACAAATGCATTAATATTCGATTGATACTCAGTTCAGATGTTATTATATCCCACGGTACATTAGTTTTAGCCTGACAACACGAGACACTAGCAGAGCAGAGAGAACTCTCTCCTCCGTTTCTATCAAGTTTTTCAACGTTTTCTCGGTTCTTAACACTTCAGCTAAACACTCAAAGTTTCAACTAACATTCACTTTCTTAACAACCTCTGGTGTTTTAGTTGTTCTTGCTGTTTTACCTTTAACAGGCGGTCGTCTAAGCCCATTTCATGAAACTGTAGTCTTTCAGCCATCACTGCTCCGCTCTACGCTCACACGTGCGTCGAGGAGATTTGACGTCACGCTGCCTTCACGGTCTTCGGGAAAAAGTCCAACTAGATTAATTTGACGAAATGTATTTTTATTTGTTGCGTTAATGGCGCGATTTAACCTGACATTTATTTATTGTTTATTGTTATGTATGGCTACATACAACAATAACAAGCTGACCTAAAATGTTAAATGGTGCAAATGTATACAGTGTATATCAAAGTTTATAAGAGTTTGCAGTGTTTTGTGTTGCATCTCCTTCCTTAACTACAGATCTATAATGAGATTCAGGTCATATTTAGGTGAAACTTGTGAAAGTTTTGGTCACCTAAATAAATGAGCAGGTTACATAGTTACTTAAATCTTTTATTTATTTGCACGCATCCATCCATCCATCCATCCATCCATCCATCCATCCATCCATCCGTCCGTCCATCCATCCATCCATCCATCCATTTCCTTAAGCCCTTGTCCCTAGCAGGGTCAGGAGGGGTGCTGGTGCCTATCTCCAGCAAGACATTTCATGCTATAGGCAGGGTGCATCCTGGACAAGTTGCCAATCCATCGCAGGAATCCATTTTTGAGATTTTTTGAGAATGTCTGATCAACATCTCGTTCGATCACTTTTGACCTGGCTGCAGTCTCTTGCAAAAGTATTTAAACCCGTTGGATTTTCTCACGGGTTTCAAACAAGGTTTACAACAACATATGAATTTAATTTCATATGTCTGACAAGAATTTTCTGCAATAAAGTCGGCTTTATTTGGCGGTTTAAAACACAAATGTAACATGACTGAATAAAAGAGCATCAAAACTGGTGTGATCAGATGGTATTGTCCAAAAATACTTTATCTCCACAAACTCAACCATAAACATAGCTCCTCAGTTACATTGAGTAGTAGGAAGTGGAAGTGACATGACGTCACTTCCACGTCAAGATCTCGGTATCACACAAATAAATACTGGTGTATTTTTTTTGTATGCTTGTTAGATTTAATTGTGAAAGAAAAAAAACTGATACCTCATTTTTTTCCCAAAAATATTTGGGTTAGTTTGTTTGAGAAACACGCCCAACCATAAAAAGAAAAAAGAAAAGGAAAAATCATGTAACTGGTTCATTTGAGAACAAACCTACATTTTCCTACATCACAACCACACACTGATCTAGAATTTGTACTCTAAATGTTAGACCTCATTGTGAATTGTTAAAAAATTGATGCATGATTTTTCAAAATGTATTTGTTGATTTGTTTAGGAACATTTGGGAACCATCAAAATCAAGATCCCAGGTCAGTGATAAATATGTTTTTATTTTTTATCTACCATAATATATGATATAATGTAATGTTGTGTTATTGTGATTAAAATTCCAAATACTGAATAATCCTCCTTACTTCCTTTTGAAATGACTTGTTGTATTTAGTACTTAATCCTATCTTTATTATGGACCGGTATGTTTTTGTTAATATTTTTTTGGAACCCAATTTTGAAATGTGGTTATCATTGTCTTGTTGCCATTATTTCTACAGGAAAGTCCAATTAACACGCTGATCTGCAGCCGAATGATACTACAGAAATGTAAAGTGATAATTAAATCGATGAAAACAGTTTTCATTACTGAACTACTATCGAGGATCCTCAGATCTGATGTGATGGAAACATCCAGAACACCACAGGATTTCACAGCGGTACTATTTTTGAAGTTCTACCTTTCGGCCGGTAGATGGAGACAAACACCAACCGCCTGGGCCAGAAGGTCTCCGTCATACATGAGCAAAAATAACGGTACAAAATAACCTCCGCTGTTTTCGAAGAAACCACGGAAACCTCTTCACGCGGGGGAGACCGGGGACCCGTCCGCACCGCTTCAGTCAACATTACTTGTGTTTCATCGTGGCTGCGGAGCGGCGCTCGTGACGGCGACTTGTTGCGAGGACGGAGGCGCGGCGGCGCGCGGCGCAGACGCTGCTGGATGCTGAGGAGCGTCTGTATCACCAACCATCCTGCCTCCCACAGCAGCCACACGAGTCAACATGGCCGCGGAGCAGCTCGACCTGCTCATCCTCTGAGCAGCAGAGCAAAACAAAGGGAAACACGCGGCTCGTTTTATACACGCTCAGAAGGACGTTTTCATTTCCAGACATGGGCGGAAACGAGACGGAGAAAGTTTTCTGCTGCATATCCACAGGTATTGTCACCTTATTGAACGTGCTTGTGTTCGTGACGCTGAAAGCAGGTTAAAAGCAGCTCGCTTTCTTCCTTTTGCTCAGCATAAATGGCGTTCATGTCCCGCTTCTCTCGGTCTCGGAGCAGCTCCAGGTCTCCGAGCCGAAAGGAGTCAGAGCGGGACTCCCCGACTCTCACGGTGTCCGAGCTGGAGAGGCTGCTGTACACGGGCAAGACGGCCTGCAACCACGCGGACGAAGTGTGGCCCCGGCTCTACATCGGAGACCAGTGAGTGGGCTGGATCTCAGTAGAGCTGCTGCCAACTGCCAGAATGATGCATCAGACAGCAGAGGAGAGCAGAGGCTCCTGTTTACCCTCCAAACCTCTCCCCACACATAATAACACCACGTTGTCTTCAGAAGACTGACTGCAGAGCCACATGTGTGCATGTGCAAAGGATCTGACCAAAAACAACAACAACAAAATAAAATCAGCTGAGATATCACCAACACATTCATTCTGTTTTTTAGGTTTAGTTAGTCACTACCTGATGCAATGAAATATCTCCCATATATAGCTGGATTTCTGTCATTTTGGTATGGATTTACAATGATAGTGAATATGGATCAGGTGGTCACATGACTGGGTCTTAATATTTTGGATGATGCTGTTTGAGAAGGAGAGTGAGTGTCTCAGAGTAAGTTTTTTATGATAATCGTCGATTTTTAATGTCGTGGTCTTTAATTTGTTACTTTACATTTTCAAAGCATTGTACTAAAGTTATAAAGTGCATATTGGGAATTTCAGTGCTTGAAATAAAGAAGACTGCAATCCCACCCTTTACTCTCCCGAATGCGTTGATTAGAAACAAGTGAACAGAAAAACCAAATCAAACGTCCTCATTTCAAGTTTCTATCGAAGACACAGCAGCTTCAGGCTGCGTAACTCTGCAGCCTCTGTTAGGGAGAGCCGTACCTCAGGAACTGAAAATGCTGATACAACTCTCCTCTCCTCAGAAACATTGCCTCGGACCGCCGTGAGCTGGCCAGACTCGGTATCACACACATTCTGAACTGCGCGCAGAGCAAGTGGCGAGGCGGAGCCGAGTATTACGCGGGAATGAACATCACCTACCACGGGATCGAAGCTCACGACTCCCCGACCTTTGACATGAGCGTCAACTTCTATCCGGCCGCCGAGTTTATCCACAAAGCTCTCTCAAGTGGAGGTAAATCTGTAAATATGAAGGCATGCGTACAGATAGAAACCATTCATTAATGACTGATTTGCATTTTTATCAACACTAATTCATAGTATGCCTCGGCAACAGAATCATCCCAAACCACCTCATAATGAGACTGAGGCAGATTCCAAAGGACGAGTGACTCTAAAGCAACCAGAACTTATTGCTTGGTGTCAAAACACCAACTCTGCCATGACATCACTTCCACATCAAGATCTCTCCATGAGCTGTTTTTTGGTTTTTTTTTCGTCTGAAGCTAAATCGGATCAAACCTCTCGTTTCAGGTCAGTTAGAATGACCGAAGTTACTCCTGCTTGCTAAATGCCACAGCAATGAGAGAAAGAATATGTCAGAGATTGATTTATTGATGTGTTTGATATTAGAAGTTTACATATCTAATCTCCTCCAACTGAAACAAGAGAATTTTCGGTCTGATTTAACTTCAGACAGTGAGAAATAAAAGGTCCGTGAGTCAAAATCCTAATGAAGTGCATTGGAAGTTTTTTGTTGTGATGTGACAAAATGTGCAAAAGCCCTGAAGGTCCAATCCAGACGGTGTATTTTATGTAAAAAGTTGAAAAAAAAAAAAGAATCTCTTCCTTAGAATATCTCTAGGATGTTGGAAACATAACCATTTAACACCGGCACATGTGTGCAGGTAAGGTGCTGGTCCACTGCACGGTGGGAGTAAGTCGCTCAGCCACTCTGGTGCTGGCCTACCTGATGATCAGACAGAACCTGACGCTGGTGGAGGCCATCAGAACAGTCAAGGACCACCGAGGCGTCACCCCCAACCGAGGTTTCCTCCGCCAGCTCAATGGACTGGACGGCATCCTGAGAGAGAGCCGGAAGACGTCGCCGCAGAGCTGAAAACCCTCCCTCACACACACGCACACACACACAAGCCAAGGTAGCAGCCATACACACGAAACAGAGACAAATTCAGAGCAACACGTGACGTCCCGACGCTGGAGGCGCTGAGTGGCTAAAGGTGACTGAATGTCACTTTCCTGAACTACCGGTAATTTTCATTTCTTTTTATCTGTTCAGTCCTTTCACATGAACAAGGACCCATCAAGGTCACACCCTCCAGTGAAGGTCCAAGTTTCATCAGATTGATTAGTGGAGGCAATGACAGCCTCACACTGTCCTTTAAAGCATTCACGCATTCATTTAACAGGTCATATTTTTACTGAAGGAAAAATCAGGGAAACCCTCAGGGAAACAGCAGAGGGTGCCACTTTCAGGTCATGTGACTGGAGAATGCAACAACTGGTGCGTTTCCGTCCCTCAGACCAATTTGGGATTTAGGCGTATTGACATTTCAAAGATAAAAAGTCACAGATTTGATGGAAAATTGGTAAACGAGCATTGATAGAACGTCACTCTGTGGCATTTAGGTCGGAGAGGTTTTAAAAGCACAACTCAAGTCCCAAAAATAGACAAAAGTCAAACCCACACTGAAAACAAAGAAGTCGAGCCAGCAGAGTTTATTGTTCTGTAATTGCCTTTGTACAGGAAGTCTTGGTAAAATCCCAGCTGGTTTCTGAAGATACCAACATCTACTTCCTTTTTGGTTGACCCTCGACTTTAAACTTCTCACATTCCAGAGTACACAGGTGGCTTATACTTACTGACTTTACCAGTTTATTCCAGTTTACTCAATTCTAAATACCGACCTACTGAATCAATGGTTTCATACACGTTCATTTATGCCACGGCTTCTGCCGCTATGTTTTCATCTGTTGAGAAGCAGCAGCTAAATGCTGGGCGTGATGCATGCTGAAGCAAGAGGAGTGCTGCTAGGTGGTCTGCGGCGTGTTCGAATACTCACGGCCTGCAATCAAGTGTCAACGGGTCAACTGTTTGGCTTCTAAGGAATTATGGAAGAACCTTCAGGAAGTTGGAGCTGCAGAACAGAGAAGGCTTCCACACTCTTCCCAGAGGCATTTGGGAATGCCTCTTAGTAGAATTCCTGTTCTGATTCTTTATAATGTAAGCCTCAGGTATGGGTGGAAGGGATCAGAAGTCAGTCTAGAGCCCTTTGCATCAAGAAGAGTGGAAATGTTCTTGACTGTTTCTCCTGGCCGCAGGGTAGATTCTGAAGGTTCTCAAGGGATGACATATATCTTCTGTCTTCCCAGCCATGGAGAATTTCAGATTCTTCCAAGGCAACTGAAAAACATAGCTGGATGTGAGGACTTTCTGATTTAGCCTACATGATCATAGTAAGAAGTATCCTGTGCATTTAAGGCTGGAGATCAAAACTAGGGAGAGTGGAAGACACAACTCCAAATTGCACAGATGTGCCGCAATCTGAGCACAGGATGCAGGTTTCTGCCAGAGAAAGTTCCTGGTATCTATGTTCAGGTATCACCAGGTTCAGACTTGGGTCTGGTTCAGCTGCTGAGTCGTCGTAGCCACAATTTATGCCTTCACTTGGCGCTCTAGGACATTTACCATCTTTCCTGGAGACCTAATCAGTTCAACTCAAATGTAAGGCACATGACAACATGTTTGAGCAACGCCACCTTGCTCCACCATGCATCACTTCAACAAAAACGGGTTTGGAAGCAGTGCACTGCACCCGCTGCTTAACCCCTGAACTGTCATGACGGCACCAGTACCTTTATGGACCCACTGACTTGCAGGTAAGCATTTTGAGGATGACAGTTAAGGGTTTAAGCAGCTTTATTCTGTTACATAGAGTAACATTACAATGTTTTATGACCTTAAAAGAAGCAGAACACACCATTCTGATTTGATCTGTTGCTCTCCTTGCACTATGTTCCAGAACCATGTGAAGGCAAAGTTCCAGCTTTACATTCTTCTGCCCACATTGACAGGAAAAGTGACGTTCTGTTGATACCGATCTCCAATGATACAACCAGGCGGCTCTAAACCTATACACTCAATTTATAGGCATTGTTTTTTACTACTCAGATGATTCCGTTTAATAAGTGCCCTGGCCTGAGCTATTGAGTCGTGCAGCAGTTGTAATATGGATCTAAACCAGCAATGCTTTGTAGCCGTTAGGTGTTCAAAATAACGACATAGATTTTCCTCGGTGTAAATAGACTTTAGGTTTTGGTTTACTGCAGAATACTTTAACAGGCACGGCCTTTCATGTATGTCCTTTAGCGTTAGCATTGCGCCGAATTAAAAACTGTCCAGTCTAGTGTGTGTTTAAGTGTTGTACTGACTGGAAGGTCGCTTGGATTGCGTCACAAAATAATACCAGACATGTGCCACTGCAAAAGCTACTAACTGCCTGGCTGACAGGAAGTGTTAGGTGTTCAGAGCTCAGTCGTAACCAGGGCTCTCTGTGACTTGTGGGGCTTGTGCTTCCTAAAAACATTCTCAGTTCAAGCTGGCTTATTAAAAGTCCTCTTTAGTGTTGTTGTTAAATACCTCAACTATAGTGTTTCATATATGCTTACTGGAGTTTTTCTGTGCTGTTGAATCAGCGAGACAAAGTTTGGGTGAGAAGACAGACACTTTGTCTCATTGCAGAAAGTGTACATATTGGAAATGAACGTTTGGATTTGTAAACTCTAGAAAACACAATGCAAATCTCAGCTAATTTAGTAATATCACTTCATGGAGGCTGCCTCCCCAGAGAAGCTTATCCTGATCTCATTGGTCATCTGCAGTGGCATGGACAGACTCCGCCCACATTTCCATATTGATCTTTCCGTGTGAAATCACAGTCTTCAGAAAGCAGCTCGCATGGCCATGATGGACGTCCAAGCCACCTATGCGCTAATCAAACTCTTATCCAAAAACAGACAGCTGGTCGTCTACCATGGACCAGCCCTAACTTTTACTTTCAGGACACATTCATGTTTGGACAGAAGTCCAAATGTCTTCATGAAAATTCAAAATTCAAGGTTCCATTTTGACTCTTTCTTTGAGCAGTGGGAGCTTTTGAATTAAAAATATGAAGCAGCGGTTAACCCAAGACATGGAAATATATTTGAATGTTTCTGTTGTCCAAATTTCCGGATTCTCGTCTCAGTGGTCCACAATGCAAGAACATAATAGTCCCTGGAGACAATAACCACAATGCAGCTTTTGGTTGAGATTTGTAAAGAGACTAACAGAAGAAAGCTGCAGAGAAATCAGGAATCTGAAAAGGAGGGAATTTTTAAACCTTGCTATTTTTGACCAATAAATGCATTTGAAACTTGTGGATCAAGAATTGGTGTTTTCCTGAAACACAGGAAATTCTTTTTGTGGCATTATATTTAGTTTACATCAAAACTCGCTAAGTTAATAACATGTTGTTACTGTGATATGTTTTTTTTTTTTTTTTACTGTCCCCGAAATTAAAAATATCTGCAACAATTATATAGCAATAAAGCCTGGATCTCGAATGGAGCCCGATCCTTCCATAAGCCTTTTTATGTTGAAAATGTCAAGTTTCATATTCTTCTGAATCATCAGCTGCCACTGCTTTAAGGTTTAATATCACATTATGTCAAATCACTCGCATTATGAATATGCTTCATAAAACATCAGGCTGTCTCAGCTTGGAAAACAAGAGAGCTGAACCTGGACATTACACCAAGATCTACTAATAAGTGTTACTACGTTGCAGCTTACAGATCATGTCTTCATGCCTTCACCATGTTGTGGCCCAGTTGATCACAGTGAGCTCCAGTGTTTGTTTTTTTTCCAACATGTCTGAAGATTCCCTCTAACTGGGTGACAAAAGCGTATTAGCAGCTTCCTGGCATCTTTTGGTTTGTCTTTACTATGTGCTTGTTTTCTGATGCCTTCTGCATCATTTGTGTTTCAGTGTTGATGTTCGATCTAAGCAGACAGCATTACGAGGTTATTTAAGTGATAACATGTTTGTACAGCTTCGGTTAAACTTCATTTTGATGTTTCTCCTGCTCAGAGGAGCATATATGATGTCCTATTAGCAGCACTACCTGCTGATCTGAATAAGCTAAGCTACTAACAGAGATGGCAGTCAAAAAAACGATCGAGAACTCTCCTAAAAGAACACAGAGGACATTGTTTCCATTGTGACTTTCAGCTTTTCCTGCGATATGTTTTGTATTTGTGACTTTGTTGTGATGTGACATGTTCTTCCCGTTTATATCCTTGTGGCTCCCAGCAGCAGTCCTTCCATAGGAGGACTGGAATTCCAGTGAATTTATTTTCGTATCACTCTGTCCGATTCCCGCGAAAGGAGATGTTCATGCCTTAATCTGTGTTCTTCAACTTGGTCTTGTTATGGTGAGAAACCACAATTGTCAACTTTGTTTTGATAAATGCTGTAATCGGTCATAAATAAATAGAAAACTCCTTTGAGTTTTACCGTGTCTTTTGTATTTAATACCCCCCACAGTCGTCTTTGTGTTTAATACCTTCCCCCAAATCTTTCTCTGCCCATTTCCTGTCTTGTATAAGAAGCTCCTGAAGGGATACTGAAGGGAAAAAAATAGAAAATAAACGTTTCTCAGATACTGCCTGTTGCGCACGAGCATGTTAAAGTATCCACCAGATAATACATTGAGAAGGTTTATTTCATTTTTTCCCCCCTGAATGTCCCTTTATGCACACCATAGTTCTGTGCAAAAGTTCATCGAAACCTCAAATAAAATAAAAATGAATTCTAAAATGATTTGAAATCTAATCTAATCCAGTGTCGTTATTTCTAAAACAAAATATCTCATAGTTGAAGAGCCTGAAGAACTTCCATTAGCAGATATTACTGATTGTTGCTTTTTTTATATCATCTCCCTTCATCATTGCACTAATGAAGGCTTCATATGTATAAAACCATATAGGAATGGTTTTATACTGGACTCTAGGAAATGTTAGAGAAATCAGTCCTCTCCTCAGCAAATGTCTGAGCATCAGCCTCTGTTCCCTTTTGTTTGCCTGACAGATCTGACCCGTCCACCAGGTCACGTCTGTACTGCGCAATTAACAACGGCCACTCAGAGACTTTGTCAATATATTTAGTGACTTTACAGACAAAAAAACAACAACTGTGTATCGGCCAAAATCAGAATCTGCAGGTCAAGCTTGATAAAGATCAGCAGCAATCGGCCAGAACAACAGTTGCTTCTTCATTGCTTGCACAAAGCGCTGATTCAAAGAGGCGGCCGTGTTTCCTGATGATGATTTGATCAAGTGCTTCTCATCAGCAACACGTTTCATTTCCAGTTATTTGGGCCCAATAGGAACTTGGATTTTTTGACCATTTCAACAGCACCTTTGTTGAATTAATAATGAAAGGGTTCAGATTAAAACACTTCCATGGAGAAAGTCCAGTGAAGTGGATCCTGGTCACTAATGACAAGAAACGTTTTCAGTAAATATGAAAGATCAAACAGTTTTTGCCAAATAAAGTGACTTTTAATTTAGATTCAGAGGTGGGAGGGGAGGGGGAGACAAAGTAAATGTGGGTACAATGATGATTATGATTAAAAAATAAATAGAAAATAATGGCAATTACAATGTGCTACAAAATATGTGGAGTAGTTTACATATTTAAAAAAGCTTTTTTCTTCTTCTTCCTTTCTAGCAAATTTGCAGTTAAATAGTCCATCGTTTCCAAATATAATATCGCTGTTGCTCAAATTGGCAAAGAACATTTTTGCTGTAGTTACCTCGTTAAGGCAACGCTGAACCACAAAGGGTGCGGTTGCAAAACTGATCATAGAAAAAAAAAAAAAAAAACAAACAGTAAACTTCAGCTTTACAAAGTAGAATTAGGAACCAACTGTTGCATGTTTCACTGCCTGACCTAATGTCAGATGACTAGTTTCTGTCATACATGCATCATGTGCCTATGTGTGTATGACACTGATGGGTTGTTTTTACAACAGCTTTATAGTTTTCTAACATATAGAATGTATACAGTGCCAACAATGATCCATTATCCAACTAATGACAAAGTTACCATGATTAACAATTCTTTTGATACACACACGTTCTCAAATGAAAACAGCTGATTATACAGTACATAAACCCGCGTCTGGATGGGTTATACATGTGAAACCATTTAAAAACATACAATGGCAGAAAAGGCCATCGCGCACACAGCTCTGAAAGCCCCGACACAGGGAAGGAACGGCGGTGGTGCTGGTGTGGGGGGGATTTCACTTTTTCTTTTCCCACAATGCTGAAGCCCGTCGCAGACAGTGAACCTCAGAAAACTGATGCTGCAGTTGCACTAAGTGTCAGTTTTTTTTGGTTTTAGTTTTCTAGTAAATGACATAAAAAACAAAACCAACAGTGTTTAGTGGACTGGTTTCATACGTCCTATGATGGAAATTGAAGAATGCAGCTAAGGTGGTTGATGCTGACAGAAACCTTTTGTTTTTCAATTAAGGCTGATTTTGTCCCCCGACTTATTAAAATCTTCTCGCAATGCTAATGTCAGGCACACAACAAATCAGTAACCTTGATTTTGTAGCATCCTCCTAATATTTTTTCTCTAATCAAGGCCAAAAGAATTTCTGGAAAAATTTGAAAATTTCCAAAAGTCAAAAAATTAGTACTTTTGAAACTCAGAAGCTTTTTCTAGAAAATTTCAGAGTTTTTCTAGCAAATTTTCTACCTTGCAGGCTCAGAAATCTCCTTGTTTTTTTCTGAAACATATTCTGCGATTAATTTCGACATTTCTGACTTTTTTGGTGTAAATGTACTAATTTTTCTGCAAGTCAACGACTCGATGCAATGTGCTGGGTTTTCCTAGAAAACATTTGTAACTAATCTGAATAATAAACGGAGCTCACTGCACAGTGTGATAGGTCGGATCAATTTGAACAGATGTGTGGTTGAATTGTCAGAAAAATATATCTTTTAGTACTATAGTAGCCACTGTTGGCCAAAAGTGGCAACTGCACTTCAAGGCACTTTCTTGCTGCTTTTGCTTCTGACACCGATTCTAAATCTGATACACAGTCTGGACAACATGAGCTGCAACTTAACATGCAATGGAGCAGCAAATTAGATTCATAGAGTTTCGAAAAAAATTGTATTCAGAGTATAAAATGTATTGACTTAGATCTATTTAAACTGATTATATCAGGATTATACTGATTATATCTTTGTTGTGTTCAGGTTCTTACTCTCCTTCCTAATACTCAGAGAAATGAAGAAATAAATCATTTAAGGATTGACAAAGAGATGATGTTGGTTTTGATTTTTATGTCTTTGATGAAATAAAAATATTTTGAAATGCCACAAAAAAAACTAAAGATCTTCATACATACAGATGTGACGAGGTTTTTCCCAAATAGCCATTAAAGTTATCTTTAAAAATTGTTTTTTGACCACAATACTAACTTTGGGCTGTGAGAGGCATAAAAACCAAACAATAATAAAGTGAGGCTGATAAACGGATACATTTCAGTTATCTGTTGTTACAATACTGCTTGACCCTGTATGTGTGAGGACCTTTAATCATCATATACAAGAGACACCAGCTGTGTTTCCATTAACAAATGTGCGCAAAACTTTGTTTTTTGCCTTTGTGCTGTTTCCATTCAGTAAAAAGCGCAATTAAAATCACACCTCAATAAGTTTGTTCACACGATAACTCATTAAAAAACATGCCAACTTCTTTCTGTCGTCTTCTTCTTTGTGGTTTGCGCCACATGGTTGTTGACCCATGAGGCTGGTGTGATGCGGAAAAAGGGTTTTGCTCAGTAAACTGATATCAATATGACCGAAAACCAAACCGTCAAGGCACCAAAACTTTTGATCAAGAAATTAGTTATCAAAATTGGTGTTTATATTCAAAATGTCAAATTACATGGTCACTGGAAACACAACTAGTGTTTCAATACTGAGCAGATTTTCTTTGCAGTTCGGTTTCACTGATGTCTTCGACTTACAGATGAAAATCTGCTCCTTTCCACTAAATATTTCAAATGCGTATGGCAATATGCAACAGCTACAGTAGAGTTAATGTGAGCATCCTTCAGCTTCTATCTTCTTCCTCATACACCCCCCTCACCTTCCAGTCTGAGGCTTGTGCTTGTGTTTGAAATGCTGGCCTGTGGAGTCGGTGCCTGTTAGGCTCTTTTTTTTCTTCACTCACCATGTTCCTTCATGCACCTCCACACTGCACTGAAAGGACCTCAGAGTACAGTAGGACACTTAAAAGACAAGAGACGAACAAAAACACTGGTATGCACACACACGCTGAAGCGGGTGCAAACGGGGTCGGGCGGCCCTCTTCAGCTCAGTCCACATGTCAGTTGTTTTCGAACAGCGCCAGCAGGTCGTCGTTGCTGTTGTTCGGGAGGTCGGGGGGGCCCAGGTACGACAGCAGCTCGTCTGGGTTGGTCAGCTCGGGGAGAAGCTACAGGGCAGACAGAAACGGTGTGAGATGCTGAGGGTTCTGAACGTTGAGTACGACTATTTCTAGACAAAAGTTTTTGTGGTGTTTTCTCAGCTGCGTCGGAGTCTGTGTATTTTGAAAATCTACAACTACTTGTGATTTTCTCATCAGACGAGTCATGTGATCAACAACCGGATGTTGCTATTTTCAAAAAACACAAAGACAACAGGAAGTAGTTGAAGAATCCCAGCATGGCATGCTTTTTAATGACACCCCATCAACAAACTTACTCACAAGTGATTTTAATTGTGTTTCTCATTTAATGGAAACTGACAGAATTTCGACAAAGTTTTATACACATTTTCAATGGAAATTCAGCTGCTGAGATCACATGCACAAACATGTCATAACCTACTTGTACCTCTGAGCCTGAATCATTCAAATACCTCATGCTCAGATGGACAGAAATACGTTAATGTTGAAGTAAAATTTAAGGTCACATTGGGAATTTAACAGGAGGCATCACTCATCATTTTCAATAACCACAACTGCACAAACTGATTCCAGTCCATAATTACCAGCTGTCTCTCCAGGATGCCAGATATTGTCAAAAAGATTATTTCAGTTATTTAAATCAAAAAATGAAACATAACTGCTATGTGAATTCAGTGGTGAGCCACGCTAACCCTGAAGCGCTAATCATAAATATTAGTTAGTTAACAATAAAGCCGCAATATAAAGATGGCATTTTGTAGACGCTAATGCTAACATGCTAAGTACAACTTACGTCAATGATAAAACATGAACATAATCATAGTACATCAATGCACCAGAGTCAAATCTAGCATTCCACATGTACTTGTGCACTTGCAGCACAGGAAGTAATTCTTTGGAAATTATCTTTCACTAAGAGTTTGAGTTTTTATAGTTCTTGAGTATTGTTGACTGTATTGCTTCCAGTATTTCTAACTCTGTTGCTAAATTTTGGCAAATTGACCGCAGTAGGACCTCAATCAGAAAGCATGTAGGACAACAGTAGTTTAGATACTGCTTTGAAAAGAAGCTAAACATGCTAGCCATTTTCAAAGTTAGCGTTTCATAATGCAGTATATATAATATGAGTGTCCCTTTCTTATATGAAATGACTGGAATAAATGAGGTTTTCAATTGAGGTCTCTGGTTTGTTTGAGGTAAATAGAAATACTAAAATATGGTCTGTTGTACTTCGTTATTAATTAGCGGACAACATGAAAGATTCTGTAACTGCACAACAAACCTGGATCATCATCTTACCACCATGTTTCACAGGTCATCTCATCTGACCAAAGAACTGTTCTTCACAGTATTTTTCTTAAATGCCTTCCCAAACAAGCTATTCACTGTTTGTTTTTTCTTGTTCATGTCTGATTGTTACTCACATCCAGAGCGTGATCGGCCCCCTCCCCTCCAGGCCCTCCCAGATTGAAGGAGCCTTCGCCCTGCAGCCGTGAGTTCTGTGTGGCTGAGCTCCTCTGTGCTAACGGGCTGCTAGCCTCGCCAAGACTCTGGTTGTTATGGACCCCCGATACGTGCTGCTGGAGAATGCTGCCATGCGAGTGCTCCATTCCTCCAGAGTGGGCCGCCTGAAAGCAAATATAATATATATTTTTGCAATTAACTATACAATATATAGGTTTTCTCCTACAACTATGAATACTATATCTGAGGCATGTTTAAAGCAACTCCCAGGTTCATGTGAATGAAAGCAATTCTGTGTGTTTGATATTAGGGCTTTAAACAATGTGGTGTAGATATTGTTTTTGTAAAGAGCTGGGTACCTTTGGCTTCAATGTCTAACCTGCTCAGACTGGTAGGGGAGTGGGGGCGGCGGTCCGGAGGAGGCGTACTCTCCGAGTGTTGGGGTCCCAGGAGTGTTGGGGAAGTCTGTAAATCCTGTTTGTCCGGAGAATCCCTGGCTTCCTGCAAGAGAGAAACAAACCAGGCACGACTTCGGTTCAGCATGCCATATATCAGGGGTTTCCAAATATTTTATCACTGGGGCCAAAATTACCTGGCCGGCTGTAGTCAGGAGTGTTCCTGCCCCCTGCACTCAGACTCTGGTATGGGGACGAAGCGGGCCCCAGGGCCGCGATCATTTCCATCACATTCGGCAGGACCATGTGACTTGGACTGACTGTGCGGCAGCGCTTTAGGACCGGACCGTCAGGCTCCTCCTTTATGTGGAGGTCGGGTTTGATTGGCACAGGCCTCCAGCCGCACACCGGGTCGATGGTGATCTCCTCGTAATCAGAACTAAGAGAGGGGACACAGAACCGCTACATTAGTTTATAAAGCTCTTAACCAGTGGTGTATAAACAATTATTTGTGTAAAGGACCAAAATCACTAAGTTGAAAGGAACTGAGGGGCCAAAATAGCTTTCATCCAGGTTAAAAACACAAAACGATTATTGTGAAGTCTGTTTTTTACTCATCATGGTGTATTAGTCACTGCAGATAGGGAAAAACATGGCTACATTTTCTAGAAAAGAAACTCAAGTTTTCAACTTTTGAAACTCAGAAAATTCCAAGTTTTTTTCTAGTAAATTTCTGAGATTAATCTAAATATTTCTGTTATTTAACTTTTTTGTATCTACAATGGCCCAGGTAAGACATCGTATTGACATGCACCGCAATAAATTACCGGTGAACATGTAATATTCGTGGCGCATGTGGTTCACAATTATGTGTTATTTAGTTATTTTAACTTACTTCTGTATGTAGACCAGAATCCCCAGCATGTACTGGTCGACCTCCAGGCCTTCTAGCAAAGCCGTTTTACTGCAAACAAGAGGAGCAGCCAGTTGGTTAAGTTTCATGTCGGTAAAAGTGGCTTTGACAGGAAAGTTGCCTCTGCACGTACTTGCACACGGGACACCGCCACGTCCCTCTTTCACAGTTCAGTTGTAAATAAGACTCCAGGTCAAAACACTTGAAGAAAAAAAAAAAAAACACGGCCGCTGTGTGTTAAGTCGTGATTTGGAGTAGTCATGGTGTGTGATGCGGGATGGTGTGTGACCTCACCTGTATGTGCCTGCAGTCGTGGCCTCTGGCTGGCAGCTGGATTCGTCTGAATGTGATCGGACACTTGAGGGAGACTTTGATTGCCGTCTGCTCCACTCCGTCCTCTCCGTTTAGACCAGGCGTCCCGGGGATGGTGCCGCTACTGAAGTTTCGCTTTACTGGAACAAAAGCACAGCGGCGACGATATTTGACAACAATGCTCAGGAAACAGTCCAGCTGTGTGATCGCAGATAAACACAGAGATGCACCGGGACACCGGCTGCTGACCGGAATCACCCGGATGATTCCGGTCAGCAGCCGGAATCATTCGATTATCGACTGACCTTAACCAGCACTGATTAATCAATAATAATCAATGCTATCAGATGATAAACTCCACAACTTTTCTTTGCCTTCAAAAATGAGTAAATCCCCTTTGTACAGAGAATGCTTCCACATGTACAAACTGTTATAAATGTGGTTTGTGTAGAAAAAGTGTTTTGAGAAGAAGAAAAGCTCCATATAACTTCAATTGGTTTCCCTTCTCAGAAAGGAACATTTTGAATGCTTGTTCCTTCATATCTCTTTTGTTATTTTCAAAGAGAAATCTGAAGCTGCACAAATCAGTTTTGGCAGGTCAGATCGGAAATTGGCCAACAAGTTAGGATTGGTGCACCAAGTTGAAACAAAAATGGAGTCCCTGCCTCGAAACACCCATTTGACTTTATCTTTGCCTGACAAAAACTAAAAATACTTTTCTGAATGAAGAGCAACAGAAGATACACAGAGGAAAACAGTAGGAGTTTCTTTCTTGTTAGAAAATTGGCTAGTGAGGGATCACTCCAGGAAAGAAATGTTTAATTAGAGATTAGGTCTTCTAAATAAAAAACTATAAAAAAACTATAGGTTTAACAAAAAATAGTTAATAGTTAAAAAGAAATAGTTAAACAAACATAAAATACACTTAAAAATGCCATTAGAGCCCTCACTAAGACCCTTCACTGTTTTAAAGGTTTCATCTTCAACAGAAAAAATTGAATTTGTAATTTTTACAAGCCTGCCACTGACGTGTGAAATCAGACGAAAATATCATGGAGAAATGAAAATATTGTTGCAAAAACAAAACAAAAAAATTTATATTTATTTTTAGTTTTAATTATGCTTTTATAAACCTTGATATGCGAAGAATTTTTCTTCTTATGGTATTGTGTCACCATGGTTACGTGGGACAGATGGTCCCGGATGCTTGCGAGACATGAGCAGAGACAGCAAAAGCCTGCTCCTGTTTCCAGAGTTCCTCAACAACATCAGGTGGATTCTGTGGCGGCCCACCAGGGACCGGAAACGTCTCACTGGGACGACTGCAACTCCCATCAGGGAACAGTCCACAGCTGCTCCACTGGTGGCGTCCTCATTGTCCCACGCCGCTCCTCTTCTATGCTCACTGCAGTCAAACTGAAAAGCACGTCTGGTCTTCTCAGAATAGTTCAAACTCAGTCGGACCGGTCTGCTCTTTGGATCTTCCCCCAAAGCTTGCAAGAACTTTGATAAAAAGTGGTAACGAACCAACTAATGCAGCTGCTCAAGCTGTTTTAGTTTGATCTGCTCAACAATAAACAAGTTTTAGAAAATCTGTATATCATTAAAGGTCCAAAACATTGAAAGAGCTTACTAAAAGAAAAACAGATATTTCGAAAAATTTGTTATTTGTACTATTCTTGACTTGTGATCAGGGGCCACACAAAATCAACAAATGGCCCCAGGGCCACACCTTGGACACTTCTGAAATAATGTTTTTAAAATAACAAATGAAGGTTTGAACTTCTTCTTTGATGGAGTCATTTTAATTTTCACAAAACAACAACTCTAAAAGAACTAGTGAATTTTTTAAACTATTTTTTATACTTTGTAGGTAAAAAACTTTCCTTTGATCAATAAGCTCACATCATACAGACATTAAGTTTCTATAAACAAGCATCACAGATGAAAATTAATCCATCCACTTTATTGTAAAAATGTAGAGCGTCTCTTTATTCTTCAAATGTAAAAAGAAATAAAATGATGGGTTTTTTTTTAAATGAGAACAGATTTTTCGCAAGAGCTATTAATCAAAATGCATACGCAGTCTTTTTTCACTAAATCATGTAACATTTGTGGCTCTAAAGTTTTATTGAGCTGCTCTGAGGGCAAAATAGCTGTTTGGATTACAAAGATTGCAGACCAAACATAGTTCACATTTACTCACTCTTGGTAATGCAGTGCTCAGCTGGCAGCAACCTCTTCTTCATCAGGCCCTGCAGGACGGACCTGACCGACGGCCGGTGGACCAACTGCAGCACAAACAGGTGAGACTGTGGACAAAGACATAGGAAGGGACAAAAAGGCAGGAGGGGAGAAATTCAACGTGGGATTCTGCATCACTGTGATCCGTGTTGTATTTAGTGGAGCGTCGCTGCAGCGACCGGACAGGTGAGGCATCTGGACTTACGCAGCAGCATGCCGTCACGGTGATCTGCACAGTGTTGCGTCCCGGTTGACACACTTGCTTCAGGTACAGGGGCTTGTGGGACGTCTTGTTGTCCCCTCTCTCGATGGACAGAGGAGTTGCATTAACGCTGACCTGAGACAGAAAGTTCAGAAAAAACCATCAAGAATACAAATCTGGTGCCTTTTAAGCAGGTCCCCATGTAACTTTTACACTTATGATGGGATACAGATAACTGAGCTTTGAGTATTGACAGATATTGATAAAATATCAGCAGGAGTCATACACACTTTTATTGCTTATTTTGTAGTGTGGAATGTTAGAGCAGGCTTGATCAATTGATATTACTAAAACAGAGAACAATAGTCAACAACAACAAGTATGAGAACAAACTCATTTATTATTAACCAATGTGAATGCAGACTCAGGTAATTCAATACTCCTGTCTGGCTGATATTGAACCACTGTCCGATATCACTGATGCTTTTACATTCTCAAAACTGCTGAATCCTGTAATGTAAATGGCTCTGTGTCCATGTTTACATACCCAACGTTCAAAGTATCACAATCTCTGATGGCACGTTTCTTTTACTCCAACATCATTACTCTTCCACAAATTCACCTCCTTGGACACATCCATCCATCCAAATGTAAAAATACACCAATAACTTTTTTTTTTGCCACAAACTGAGCTTTACACAGTCTGACCTGCTCAAATGTTCAGCTCATGTAGAAATGAGAAAGAAAATCGGGCAGTTTCGTACTGAAACTAATGGCCAAAATAGAAAAAGTTGAATAAATGTATATCTTCAATATATATTCACAAAGGCACGAATTGAGACCATGAAAACACCATAAATTCCAGATTTTGAAAATCAATGTTAAAGACAAATCTCTAACAAGTGACATCATCTCTGCTTCTAATATAAAGCACCAGCTTGGCTACAAAAACCTGAACGCTGCTTATTATACTGCTCTATGTACTAAACATCTGAAAAAGTGCTGAAAGAGAAGAAAGAAAATGAAGTGACTTTATAGAAGGGGATATTCCATTGCCATGTTTATTAATCATATAACCATCACATAATTTTGTATTATCCAACCATCGATACTGTATTGATAGAAAATCAGCCATGAAACTAATCTCTACATGCTTATAGGAATTCTGGAATTTATATCCCACTATTGCATTACATGCAATCATATGCACTTTTCTGCAAAAATGGATTAAGAGACATTTTATGTTCATGCTGTTCATGTCACAACAATGGAATAACAAAATAAGTATTTTTTTCAATTTTGAAGGTGACAACAAAATAATAATAATAATAAAAAAACTTACAATAAAGCCGCTGTACTGATGTTGGATGGCCTGCATTTAGGTACAGTAAGTGATAAGAGCAGCTGTCCCTGCCGGTGACTGTTTGCTGCTGTTAGCTCTGATGTCAAATTAATAAAATATGCATAAGATAGGCAAAGAACCGTTAATAATTATCGAGATTTATGGTAGCGAGCAAATCGCTGATTTTATTCTTTTAATTATCCATGTACAAATATTGATTGTTGCAGATTTGAAATGGGGACAATAAGAGATTAAAACTGTATTTTCCTAATGTTATCAGTTTAAATTAAATTAATGAGTTAGTAGGGTGCTAGCAAATGAACCATTCTTAAGAACCAGTTTTAAATGGCCCCGTGAATTATAGCCATAAACCATAATATTGTGGCTTTGAGACCATTTTCAAGTAATATAAAGATAGTGAAATAAGAGTGGAAGTACGTCCTCTCAAAAGATCAATAAACTTTAATTTATAAAGAACTAACAACGAAACTGGAAAACATTTTGACTATTCAAAATTTTCAAAAATTAAAACTAAAACAATAAAAAGATAAAAATAAAACCCAAACATAACAGAGACCATGAACAAAATTGATTATGACGTCTCCACAACAACATTGATGTAAAAAAATAATTGTCATTAGATTCAGAGGTAAGAGACACAAAACTGCCAATTAGGACTTTGTGATAATGGAGCTCATTTTCATTTATGATGTGGTTAATTGATTTATTGCTTATTGCCAAAGGCTTATTGGTTGTAGGAGGACAAAATATTCAAAAAGAACTAAATGAGCTCTTTACCAAAGGGTTTCTGTGTTCATACAGTTTCAGAACAGAAGCTGTTATTAGGCATACTGGCCTCAATGTTGTTCTTCCCGTAAGTCAGCTGCACTGCAACATGGCGGGTCATAAAGAGCTGCAGCATCGCTGTCCCAACATTTCCAGAGTCAAGTTCAGTGCTACTAATTTAATCAGTCAAAGGTCAAACACAACTTCACTGAGATAATTTGGCCTCAATCAGCTGAGTAGATGAATAAGAAAAGAAATTTTTTTCTAAGGAGAGTTCTTTGTGGCACACAAATGGTACTTTATAATCACAGTAAATAGACAAATAGCTTATCTCAAATATATGAGATCAACACAAAAACGTCTACATCTGTGAGTCAGTTTGGATCCTTGAACATGAGATGAATCCACTCGAGAGCTGGATTCAGTGAAAAAGGTTGAGGGTGCTGCTTACCTGCACAGAGGCAGGCCAGTTAGTGTTCATCTGCCTGTCTTCATGGTGGTAACATTTGAACTGCAGCTCCAGATCTGGTCTGTAGGGGGAGACACAACACAGCGGTCAAACAGACCCATAGAGGGGTTTCCTATGGATCTGGGTCTGTTTCCTGTGTTACATAAACAGCTTAACTTTATGTGCATTTAATGAAATGCACGATACTTTATAAATTCAAGAAGCCAGAATGCTGTAAAGCAAATCAAAAGTGTTTTCAGTGTTCGCTTAAGTGTTCGCTTAAATATGTCAACACGTATGCAACCGAGTCATAGCAGTTTTTTCCTTTTTATCCGTGTTAGTTCAGTTTTTCGGAACAATATTCACATTATACATGGAAAAGGTTCTGAAATTACTTTTATAAAAGTTTATTTTTCTTGCATCACAAAAACATGGAATTTGAATAGTGCTGTAGATGCTCCAACATTCCTTGTACATGACCTGAAACAACCACCAGGTGTCACAGTAGAGCATCAAAGTCACAGTGGAAAACTGAAATCCAACTCGAAAGCCTTCAATCAGTTCTTTGATCAAGAGAACCAGACTCAAGTCTCTGTCTTTGTTTTTTCCTCCCTGGAGATCACATATGAACTATTTTATTTATATCTTCTCACCTCATCACCAGTGTTTTGTAGACCGAGTCTCGGAGCTGGAACGCGTGGTTGCTGACAGCCAGGTTGTGCTCCAATCGAAACGGCTCCAATACCACGCCGTCTCGGACGGGGAAGGTCAGACGCAGGTCGTCGCTAGGGTTACCTTCAAAGGCAAACATATGTCAGTGCTGGAATCAGTAACTAAAGTTCAAACTTTAGACAAATTCTATATCAATAAACTGCAAAGAAATGCAACCAATAAAACTAATAACTAAGGCTGTATTCACACTGTAGCCTGAAGTGACCCGATTCCAATTTATTTTAGGTAATGCGACTTTTATCTGATCTTTTCGTTACAGTCTGAACAACACAAGTCAGATTCTTTTCAAATGAGACTCAGGCCACTTGAGTATCTGATAGGTATCCAATTCAAATGTGACCTAACGTTCAGGTTGCATTCATTCAACCTGAACGTCACCAGTACTCGACAAATGTCACTATTCTGTGCCCTGATATGTGCAAGTAGGAAGAAAACAACAACCATGACGGATTATAATGAGGATTAAGCTGTTAATATGCTGGTTACGGTCGGACAACAACTTCAAACGTGTAAATTATGCTCCACCGTTAGGATCCATGTTTACTTCTGCAAACACTGAGCACTTCTTTTTTGGTTGACAGAACACTGAGAACGCTGATGTTATTGTGCCCTCTACTGCACATGCAGGACACTTTCAGGTCATTTGCCCGTTCACACTGCAGAACACATACAGGTCGCATACATTTAGAAGTGTGAATGGCTACGGCAAAAAAAAATCCCATTTGACAAAAAAATCAGAATTGAGTCACTTCAAACTGCAGTGTGAACACAGCCTTAATGATCAACAGCAAATACAGTTGAAACCAGAAGCTTACATACAGTGGATAAAAAGACACTGCCTGAAGTTAAATCTGTCCTCTGCATCGCTTAAAGAGACAGTAATAATTATTTTATTTCTGGCATGTTCTTTCTCTCATTATTATGGCAAATAGAAATAATTTTGGTAATTTTAACTGATCTCAAAAAGAAAAATTTTGTCTGATTCAACTTCAGACACAAAAAACGTTTCAACTGTATGAGCACTTCCATGAAAGTGGTTTCATACTATGAAAAATTCAAGAGTGTGTTACAGCAGTGACAAAGAGGAAGTCTCCTATCCATCAATCTAGGAGAGGAAAGCAGCTTACCCAAAACATTTAAAGTCTGCCATTCTGTTTTAGGAGGTTATTCCTAAAGTGGAAAACATTTCAGCCAGTTCCCAGCAGTGGATGTCACATTAAGGTCATCCCAAAAATGAAAAAGTGCTCTACTTAGAGAAAGTGTTGACATCCATTAATCGTTAGGTTGCACAGGCTCTGTTGGTGTTGCAGACTAAAGATTGAAATGATGCAATTAAAAAAAGAAAGCAAGACCAAGTTCCGGTCAGACAACAACCGACCGGAACGTGGTTGGTTCTGGTCGGTGGTTGTCCAACCAGAGTTAAGAAGGCTCCTAAGAGAAGGAGAACATTGACACACAGCTGGCTTAGGTTTGCAAAGTTGATATTTATTGAACAGAAAGGTTAAATGTGATGTCTGGCTATAAGCCACGATAGGCTGGAGAAAAATCTGAATAAGAAGAAAACAAATTTATCTTGGAGCATTATGGCCAAACATTGGACTTGGAATCTGCAGTCATTGAGTTGACCATAACCTCTTTATGTATTTTAAAGGTGATAATATCTCTCTGTTTCCTCCTGTTTTGCTGAAGTTGGATCTTGACACACTGATCTAAATCTTGAAAAAGTGTTGCATGTCTGTAAATCTTAATGAACTTGGGGACCATTGTGAACACAATTCTTTAATAAAAATGTGAGACACTGATGATGGCACGAAGAATATGACCACCAGGAGTAACCACAGCTGATGGTGCTCCAACAAAATCCTTTCACAGCATTTAGTCCATTTAGTCCTCCAGGGATGGTATTTATGTTTTTCACATATTTGTTTCCATATTTTTTTTAATTGTCACTATGTCCTCAAAGGAGAATATTAGACAAGAAATCTGGAAAGTAATCCTCTGCCTTCTTCATTTGGCCCCACTGCTATCTCTAGAAATAGACCCCTCAGTGTCAGAAACAACCAAAAAGAGCCATGCTGTTAACCATGCTCCTATACAAGCTGCTCATACCCTGCCCCTTGCTCTTTGCTATGCAATAGCTCCTCCCCCACAGCAGAGCCTGTCATGAATGCTAAGGCTAGTTAGCAAAGGCACAGAAGATGGTGGATAAACAGTTTTCTGTATTGTTAGATTTGTTTCTCTTCCATTATATTTTTTTAGATTATTTGTCTCACAAATTAAACAAATATGTAAAAAATATATTTTATAAAGTTACATGCTGCATCTTTAATATCTCATGGGTTCTTGATCATTTGAGGTTGTATTGTTCTAATTCTAAGCTGAAAGACAGTGTGGCACCATGTAACCCTGACTGACCTGTAGAGGGCTGCTGGGTGCTGATGTTGGCTTTGGAGTCCAGCGGAAGGTAAGGTGGCTTAGTGTCCTGGCCTGGGGAGAGGTAGGGGGGTATGGAGCTCCCTGGTGTCATCGGCGGGGTGGGGTTCCCTCCCATCGGGGAGCTGGGGTAACCGGGTATCACTGCACCTCGACCTGGCTGAGAAACAGAGAAAAAAACAAAGTCAGAGCTTAAATTTTGTTTTCCCCCCCTTGGAAATTTAACATGCATCGCTATGCTTGTAGATGTATTTAGGTTAGTCTAACAGAAGGCAATAACTGTTGTAACAAGTTGAAGGAGTCTTAAAGGACTTACCCCATTGACTGCAGCCTGTGTAAAGGCGTTGTAGCCCCCTGCTGCTCCAGATGGTAGACTGCCCTGGCCATTGAAAGGCTCTGACTGGAAGCCACAGGCAGGAAGCACAATGTTCAGATAATTCCTCACCTATCTTGACACAAAGAAGTTCAGCAGGAATGCTGAGAAGAAATCCACACAGGATTCCTCAACGATTCTCAAACATTTATTCAGGTTAAATTTTGAATATAATATAATTTGAAATATCAAAGGCAGGAGATCTGAATTTTGAATTGAAGGCTCTGTGATTCACTTGTTTGATAAGTTTTCAAATTAATTCAGCTTTGAACAATATCCCATACTAGTCAACCACAGTGAATCTGATCACCTTATAAAACTGTGGAGGATTGGGCTGGCTGGCACCAGGAGGGAATTGTGTTGGGTTGTGGGTTCCAGATGTGTACGGCCCCATGTGAGGCATCCGACTGGACGGGTAAGAGGGTGACGGCGCGCATCTCTGCTGTGGACCACTGGGGTACTGCAGAGGCTGGTTGGAATACCCAGAGATCCCTCCAGAGCTGTACTGTTGCCCCGGAAACCCCTGGGAAAAGAGACGACAGTAAAAGAACCGCAAAGATTCGCCCACAGTCGGAGTCCTAAATGTCAATAATGATTGAAAAAAAAAAGTCAAAAATTAAAAAGTGATGTTAAAACCTCCAGACCTCTGAATGGAAAGGTCGCTTGAGACCCTGCTGTCCGCCTGAGAAGCCAGTGTGCTGGGGCATCCTCTGGGCCTGCGTGGGGTGAGAGGGATACAGCCCACCTGTGGAAGGTGGCAGTCCGGGCCTCAAGGGGATCATCCCGCCGTGGTTCATCCCTGGGGGCCCGCGGGGCCCAGAATGAGACAGGAACTGGTTGCTGTAAGGGGATGCTCCACCCATCTGACCAGGGGAAGAGGGAAATAAAACAGGAGGTGTAAAAACAAAGCCTGCTGGTTCTTTTCCGCAGCCTGGTCAGCTTGTAGAGCACAGGGAGGGAAAGTTACTGATAAACTAGTGACGCCAAGTTACAAAGAGGAGAAAATGTTTTGATAACTTCTACCAACAAAAGTCAGTTATCAGGACATCTGCAATCATGGGCTGTTTGGTTGCTAGGAGATGAAAAAACCAAGGTTTCTGCAGAGTTCAGCAGGATAAGTTTATGATCACGAGAACTCACATTAAAAGCCTACATAAGTTCTGGAAAATAACTTTAGTGAACTGAATAACTTTCCTACTCAGTAATTTAAAGTTGCCTGAAACAGCCAAGAATAATTTGATCATTTATCTTTAGCTCTGCATGTGAGTCAATTTGAAACTTAAAGTTGCAGTGTGCATCTAAATGTTGGGTTTTCATTATCTGGAAGGTTCAATCATCAACTTGAAACCAATACAGGGGTCACAAATCTTTTTATATTTTCCCCTTTTCTTTTATAATTGCAAAGAGTTATGATTTTTTTTTACTTTCACCTGCTAAATAACAATAAACTCAACTCACAATATTTTGACAAAATAAGCAAATAAATCAGATTTCAGTAGACGAGGAATGCATAAATTATTGTAGTTTAAACCAAAAAACGGGTCTTGCAGGTTTGCCATTAAAAAAAAAAAAAAAAGCAGCCACAAAACAAACTTTTTTAGACTTTCTAGATTTTTTTTTCTGTTCAGCAACAAAAACAGGACATGGCCCAACTTTGTTTTCCTAATATTATGCAATTTATCTATCGTTTATTGTGACAGGCCTATCTGTAGCATCTTACATTGTCCATTTTAAGATTTTATTGTACCTTTTTTGAACAATGTGGCGTAAGTGAAAACTTCAAATTTATTCTTGAATTGTGATCACTTATCACTCAAAATGGTTCAGAGAGCCGCAAAAGGGCCAAAGGCCGCACTTTGGACACCTAAACAGTCCTAGCTCTTGATATTGCAGACACTAATATTGACATTTGTGAACTGGTCTAACTTTTCATTTGGTAAGTGAATTTGTGACTAAATACTAAAGCAGCAAACATGGACAAAACAAAACAAAGAGCAAACTTGAAATTCTAAAACCAGAATTGCCTTGCAACCACAGATTCAGTTCTTTCTGCATCTCATCCAGATGTTGGGGATTTTCAGCAGGGGGAGAGATCTGGCAGAGAATCTGCTGGAACGTGGATTCCACTATCCACGGAGTGAATCTTCCTGAGACGTGTGGAGGGTGTTTTTAGAAACTAATACATACATTTAAATGTCTGCACTCTGCTTACATTTCATTTCAGCAGATGCAGCTCACAGCGCTGGTGATTCAGTCTGTTCAGCTTCGACAGTGACTCATACATAGTGTTTAAGTTTGAATGGCAAGCCAGTATCTAATTATGCAACGTCTCTGCTGGTAATCAGAAGCATGTGTCCTGGACTTGATGTGAGCATGAAGCAGAAAAACAGCTTCTGATTTCCAGCCCTGCAGCTAAAACGCTCCAACTAAAGAGCAGAGTCAGAACCAAGACGTTTGGAAACTTTCACAACCAACATCCCGGCTTGTGTGTGTGTGTGTGTAGGTGTGTGTGTGCATGTGTGTGGGTGTGTGTGTGCGCGTGTGTGGAGCTCTTAGAAACTGTTATTGTTCCAAGAAGTATGTGTGTGTGTGTTTTTTATTTTTCTCTGAGACGTTTACCTGACCATAGCTCAGCTCCTGGTTCTGTTTCTCCTGTATTGCTGCGACCGTTGCCGTGGCGGTGGCAGTGGCTGTGGCGGCGGCGGCGGCAACAGCGGCAGCTGCAGCCTGAGTGAAGTCGGAGGGAGCGCGGACGCCCAGGCCCGCGCCTCCGCCGTTGCCAGAGTAACTGTGGCGAGAGGGGAAAGACGTGGAGATGAGTGGGCCGTGGTCTTAGTCAGCTGAGTGAATGAGTGTGTGAGGTGTCGTCACAGCTGTGAGTCACGGCGGTGGGTGACAGCGGCCACGCTGGCATATGTTGGTGTGGAACCCCACCGCAGCAGAACAACAGCTCATGACACGCAGCAGGAACACATTATAGCTGCAAAAACCTGCTCCTATTAGCTCACTTAATCTCAGGGATGAAGTAAAAGAGATGCAACAGCCCAGCTGCACAGTTTGCTCACCTTTAAAGCTGCAGTATGTAACTTTTCACGTTTTTACTTTGTATTATTTGTTTAAACTGATGTTGTGAAACCATGATGAGAAAGATTATGTACATAAAAAAAATCTGCCTTCTTCCAATACTAATTAAAACAACAATCAAACACAGGAGGAGAGTCTTAGCGCTGGTGATCATTCTCTATTTAGTTCTCTTCATACCCTCTTTCTGTCTGCTTTGCTAAAGCTGGCAGAGTATGTCCAATTATGGCAGATAAGCAATTTTCCTGTAAGCGGTTTCTCCACCATTAGCACATTGAGCAGCGAGAACATTAGGTTGATTGACAGCGTCAAGACCCTCCGTCAGGCTATGACTGGTTGTTCTCGGTCAGAACTGTGCATTTAGCTTTAGTAAATCAGGAGGAGATAAATTTTTTCACAGATAGTCTGTCACTTTTATTGTTTCCATCAACCTTTTCTAAAGTGATGCTTCAAAATGGGTATAAAAATGTTGATGAAAACACAGCTACTGAGCAGGATGCTAAGGTGAAAAATCAAATTGAGATTTTTGGCGTATTTTGAGCTCATTTGGATCTGGACGATTTGGAGAGACTGTCCACAGATGAAAGGTCAAATATCAAACTAAGTATTATTCAACTTTGGATAATAATACTGAGATATTTTACAGTAGAGCAAAGTAGAGCACTTCAGCTCTACCACAGGGAAACCACACACACACACACACACACACACACACACACACACACACACACACACATGCATCTCAAGCATCAGTGATCCTTGAGATCCTTGGCTATAAGAGCAACCATGAGACCCAGTACCCACCATGGAAAAGACGGTAAGAGGCTAAAATCAAGGTAACAAGGAGGGAAGTGAGCCAACCATCACTGTGACAGATGTCCAAGAAAGAGTCTCAGGTATGAAAAACTGGACAGCATCAGGGCCTGACATGATCCATGCCTACTGGCTAAAGAAACTCACTGCTCTCCATGAGCGACTGGCAGCCCAAATGAACCAGCTGCTACAAAGTGGGATTCACCCTGAATGGTTAACTGAAGGGCAGACAATCCTAATCCAGAAGGATCCATCAAAGGGTCCAGTCCCACCCAACTACCGACCAATAACCTGCCTCTCCACAACCTGGAAGCTCATGTCAGGCATCATAGCGGCTAAGATAAGCAAACACATGGATAAACACATGAGCACGGCACAGAAAGGTATCAGTGTAAATAGCAAACACCAACTCCTCGTAGACCACACAGTTGCCAGAGACTGCAAAACCCGACACACCTACCTGTGCATGGCTTGGATTCATTATAAGAAAGCCTATGCCTCAATGCCGCATACTTGGAGCATTGAATGCTTATTGATGTAAAACATCAACAGGATTCTGAGCTCGGGTCCTCTATCAGAGGACCCGAGCTCAGAGGATAAGAACCACCCGCAGAAAGGAAATTTATTTATTTTATATATATATATTATATATATATATATATATATATATATATAATATATATATATATATATATATATATATATATATATATATATATATATATATATATATATATATTTCAAAGTTGTTTTGCCCATCTTTATGAGGGGTTGCAACAAATTTGCCTGCATTTATAAAAATCTAAATTTTGTCATAAAAACACTGAGGGAAAAAACTGGCACTCAGAAGACAGTCGGGTAGAAAAGGATCAAAGAAAGAAAAAAATAATCAAAGAATAACTGACAACAACACCGAGGAGCTCCATGAAAGAGCTTTCAGACAATATTAACGCCTGCTCTGTGTTGTTCTCCTCCAGGGACGATTGAACAAAGCAATGGAACTTGCTATTAAAGATGTGTTTAAAAATAAAGGTTGACAAAAAGGCAGTAGCTAATCTTATAAGAAATCGTTTTAAAAGAAGCTTGTTATTCTGAAACACGGTTTAGAAAAAAAAATCAAAGAGATGGAGGCTTACGTCTTTTTGAGCTTCAGAGAAATGCAGTTAAACGCAGCTTATAGCTTTTAGAAATGCAAAACAGCAACACGTATCAACAGATCCTTTATGGTAAAGCTGTGGAAACAAGAAGTGGGTTTAAACTGTATGAGTGCTTGTTTTCCTGAAGAAAGAGCTTACCTTCCTCCATATGCTGAAGCCGGGTTGTAGGCGGTGCTGGGTCGTCCGTACATGACCGGCTGGCCGTAGCCTTTAGACACGCCATCCCCATACGACTGCTGGCCCATGAATTGGGAGCCCATGCTGCCGCCCATCCCTGGGCTGCCAACTGGCATTATGTGACCACCAGAACTCTCGCCGGGGCCCATGGGTGATCCAAACACCTGCAGGTCAAACGGAGGAGGGGTGCATTATGACCCTGGAGGTCTGAGGTTGTGGATTTCAAAGAGGTAAAGAAAGTAGGAGTTTGACAAGAAGTTCACAAAGAGAGCATCCACTCTGAGGTCAGACTCAAACTTTAAAGTAAACCTAACATAAACTGAAAGTAAAGTTAATTTAAAACAATCTAAATGTATTAAAAGAGTAAAACTCAGGATTCCTGTATGATTTTAATGTCAGAATTTCCAACTTATATTTTCGAGTTCTCAGTCCCTTATCTTCCTTTTAAAATGGAAAATTCTCTCCTCCTTGAAGGAAGGAAAAATACAAGGAAGGAAGAAAAGTAGAAAGTCATCGCAACATGGCTCCTCTACTAACCCTAAAACAAAGTTTTTTGCCAGCGCTGCATTGAGATGTAGCTCAGCAGATACAAAGTTCCACCAGATGTCTGTTAATTGTTGCTGGCTAGTCTGCAGGAACTAAAGTGGAGGAGTTGCAGAAGTTCAATAGTTTGGAAACTGCAGCTCTGAGGAGAAGCTGTCCTCGAAGGCAAAGCTAGGTCCAACCAGGAGTTTTCCACAACTGAATCGTTGCCATGGAGATTAAATAAAAGTAACAGTTTAGTTTCCACATCTTGACTCTCCATGTCTCCATGTTATTTCCAGTCATGAAAAATGTGGACATTTGACGTGTGAAAACTAAAGTAATTCCACCTCTCTTTACAACTGCTGTTGGCAAGTTGTTTTAAATTCAGAGTAACACATAGATTACTTCAAGTATTTGTGTAAATATTGTGATATATTTACTCAAGGTTATCATTTGTCATAAATGTCAAATAAACATGACATTTCTTTGATAGTATGCTGGATTCCAGTCTAGAAATCCACTAGAAATGTGTCACTGAGGAAATGTTTTAAACCAATGGAGATGGACAAAAAAGATCTGTTTGTTAAAGAATCAAATTAGCAAAGAATTCCCCACACAACTTCCTTAAGAATTGTTCTGAGACATACTGGTCACTTTAGGTTTAAATATTAACAAGAAATCGCACTAAATAAAGCGTGTACTAGTGAACACAAGAGGAGAACAATGTCCCGGGTAGTGAGTCATGTGTTACCTGGCTGTGTGTGGGATTGGTCACGCCCCACACTGTGGTTACTACAGAAAGAGATCTTGCGTGTTGATTGGTGCCTGGTTGCCAGGAGACTGGCTCATTTAGGAAGGGGCTGTCAGTGCTGCAGAGGGATAAGAAGGGATGGTTCAGGAGAGGCAGAAAGAGAGAGAGAGTGAGAGAGAAAGAGAGAGAGCATTCATCCAGATAGCAGTAATCGCAATAAGAGCATCACAGATGCCGTTCCATGGTTTCCTCCTGAAAACAAGGAGGCTTTAACTCCCTGTTAGAGTTCATTTGCTGTTCTAGCTCAGAGAAGTCAGCTGAGTGTAAAGGTCACAACCAAATGTTCGCTTTGGGGAGCTAAAGATTAACCTGAGCACGGTTTATTCATCTGACAGTTGAGGTTAGCCTCAGTTTCCTCCTTCTGAGCCATTTCCTCAACAGGAAGCTACCGCAGCAGCATGGCTGTCACACCGCATCACTGGCAGGTCCCACTGTCTGCAATACCTGATGTTTTTGGAAAGAAAACTGAAAAACTAGGCCAATATTGTGTGAATACAAACACATATGCATAAAATAAAAATAAAAATTAATCAGCAACTGAATTAGGAGCAAATGCATTGATTTTGTTACTGTTAGTGTAGAAAGGCAAACTAAAATATTTATTTATTTTATTGCTACAGAATGACACCAGACTGATTTGTGAAACATTCAAATGTTATTTTAATACAGTTGTTCAGTAGGAAACAAGGAAACTAGGTGTGCACCGATTGCAGTTTCTGGCAGGTTATGCCGATTCTGATTTTAGCCGCTAATTTTTTCTGTGTGAAAACTTGCTGACTAAAGTTGGTGAGTTAGCAATAGTGGGGTAACTATTGCTAAACACTCATGTGTAGACGTGAATCACCAACCTCCCAAAATTAAGGAATTCAAGAAATTATTTGTGCACCCATAAAAAAACCACATCCCATTTAAAGAAAAGTGGTCACCGGTATTTATCGGCAGCAACCCCAACAATACTTAGATAATAAACAGCCCAAGCAGCCTTAACATTCTGTACTCTCTATGTGGTGAGAAAGTCTCAAAAGTTGAAAATGCATTCCATCTGATCTGTGCACTCGTGTTGACCGATCCGTCCACAACTGGTGATTTGTGCACGCACATTTGGCTATTTGTATTTGTTGTGTATTACTACTTGTGCAGGGGAAACTTGTACGTTTGAGAATGTATACATATGTGAGTGAATCATGTGACGCACTTACAGGTCTTATTTTATGTGCATGCAAATCTTATTGTATGCTTTGTGAATCTTTCAGGGACTAATTGAGCTCCATACAAAACATCTCATGTTATAATCTAGAAAATTAAACAAACCTGTATGAGTTGCTTCCATCAATTTCTGGTGCTGTTTTTGCATTTTTGAAAATCTAATGATGTTCAATCTGATAAAACTCTTCAGAGGCTAGTAGTTTAGCTGTAAAAAGGCAGAACAGAACGAATGGCGGAATAAAACAGCCTGAAACCCACCTGAGTTGTCTAGAAAAGATCAGCTGATTATCTGCATAGCTTGTTGAATTACATGTTGTGCGGAAGTAAAGAAAAAAAATTACTCTACAGAGAATATTAATTCTGAGTTCTGGGTATCCAGAATCGATTCAAAATGCTCTTTATATCTGCTTCATTTTTTTGCATATAATTCTTTCATATTTTTTCATTAAAGGAAAGGACAGGTAGCTAAGCTAAAGCTACCTGGTAATTTACATTAGAGAATTTTATTCACAAACCTGTTTTTGTTTAGATATAAACTGATGGAATTTAATGTAGTGTGTTATTTGCTTACGCCATTTTCTTCGTCTGTCAGTCAAATAACAAACAGAATCTCTAGGCCGTTTGGAAATAAAAAATGCTTTTGTGATGATAAAATTCAGACTTTAATTGCTTGACACTAAAAATTTGCATCTCAAGTGTAGTAGTAATGACATTGTTTCATTTCTTTATCATGACTAAATCATTTCCAGATCAATTCCCTCCTAGTGATCAAAGGTGACATGTTGAATTATTCGTTTAAGATCGATCCTTGTGCAGATCCATCATCAAGTCTCATTCAAGCATGGCTGCTTGAATGAGACAGTCATAGAGATACATCACATCATCTACCTGGGCTTAATGTCAGTACTGTGTGTGTGTGGGGGCATGTGTGTGTGTGTGCATGGGTACCTCTGTGGAGTGGGAGGCAGGGAAGGTTTCATGGAGTTAAGGGGGTTCATTGGATGAATGGTGGGATCATTAGAGAGCCCCCACTGTCCTCAAGCATCAGCCCTGGGAGATGGGAAAGGAAAAAAAAAAAAATACGCGCATAAACAGACAAACCCTCACAGCTCATTTGCTGCACAGCAACCATTTATCATCCCTATAGCACACACTGTGTGCACAAAAGACATAGCGACCTCCCACTCTGTGCCACTCACTTTAATCTGTGTGTGTGTGGACTGCGCACTTCAAAAACGTTAGCCTATCACTGTCTGCTGCAGCTCGGATACCTCTGGAAAAGCGAGGGGGGAGGAGGTGCGAGCTAAATTTAGCTCGCTGATTTCAAAAGGAATTTAAGAGAACAGAGATGAGACGAGGCGAGTTCTTCTCTCGCCTCACCGACGTACAAGCAATGACTCAGGAGCGTGCGCCGCTCTCTGCCGTCGCTGACCGGAGTCATGTTCTGGACCCTTCTTTACGTATAAAATGTCAATGTCTTCCTACGTCATTCCCGGGAACACCCAGGACACACAAAACCACTCTGACTGTTGATCAATAGGTAGCTGATTAGCCACACATTCAAAGTGTTTGAACTAAATTGACATCATTTCTCTGTTTGAACTTAATGAAACGGGTTTTAGTTAAACGTCTGGAAGGATGATTCGGATCCTAAAGTGGATTTAAAGTAGACATAAGAAAAAAAACAAAGAAAGGAGGCACTCCAGAGGTGCTACACGTTTCCTTTTCTGTGTTGTGAACTTTTAAAGATTATGTGAGAAAATTTGCATTTTACTGAGGTTGACTTCAGAACTCGTCTGACTAGCCAGGCAATAACTTGATCAATCAACACAAGCTGGTCCAAAACACTGAAAGTCTGGACTTGGACTCTCTTTCTCCTGTAGTCTCATTCTCACGTCACTCAAGGACAGAAATTTTGTTTTGGACCCGGGGTGCATTGATAAAAAACCTGAGATTTTCTTAAGTTTTAAAGATTGGTTGATTCAAAAACCAATCTTTAAAACTGAAGATAGTCAGCCCCTAGCCGCGTTTCCATCAATGTTTTTTCTGCGCGTTTTGATGTGTCGCATTAGAAAAGATTGACAGAAACCACAAGATTTGAAATGACTTTCTCAATTTTGCTACAATATTTTTGTGCTTGCTTGAAGTGTTTTTTTCTTTTCTGACAAAGAGTTAATGTGCAAAAAGAGTTTGTCAAATAAGCCAAAACCTCTACCATGTAAGGGAAGACTGAGAGCCTACAGTGGCCAGAGAGAGGCACTCCGGCCTGCGGTGGGAGTGACTGAATTTAATCAAAGTATGTCATAAACATGTGTGCATGTATTCCATCGTAAGTCCAAAGCATACTGGACTTAAGACGGAAATCGCATCCCATATCGGTTCAATACGGGACGCAACATTTATGATACCACAAAGGAATCTCTACTGGTGGGTCTGTGCCTTTCCAGAAGCACGAAAAGGCAGAAAATTCTCATTCCAAAGACTTTTCATTTTTCTGGGATGGGTGATCCAGGGTAGTTTGCATCCTCTACTTCCTGCTTATAATGGCCATGTGTAGCGTCAGCATCTGACAAAACCAGGATTCGCCTCGGCAAGACGTAAGTTTTGCTGGACAATAAATTTTCTGAGTAATTAAACAATAATTTTAAAGAAAAATGTCCTTTGGAAAATATTAAAAAGCAAAAAAAAATAAAAATAAATCAATATTACCCAAAAAATTAAGAATAATCGATATCAGCCTTATCTGAACATATCAACTTGTTTCTTGTGATTTCTGTTTCCCGTGTATGCCTGCCAATCAGCAATGAACAGCATTTTGTGTGAACTTGCTTCAACAATGGATTTTTTATTTTGCCAGAAATGATCTTTGACAGTTAAAACAGTAGCAGCAAAGAGACGGTCACATTCTATGCTGATGACAACTTCATTGAAAACAATGACATGCAGATCCAAAGTGAATGCCACTTAACTTCACACACATTTACGGAACTCAGAAGTTTCTGGGGAATATGTATGAACACTGACGAAGACAAAATGACTTGGATCAAATCCATGCCATATGCAGGATATGTGAAACTGAAAGGAAATTTCTCAAAACAAGAGGAACTTTTTACATATTTTGACTAAAAATGTGGAAGTAAAAACAGATCTGTCTTTAAAGTCATTGCGCATCAAGCTAACAATGGTAATGATTCCTAGCTTAGAAAATTCAATCCAAGTAGTAACACAAAAGACCTGGGACCATCAAAAGTCAAGTAGAATAAAGACTTTTGTGTCATTCATTGATTCATTATCATATCAAAGCCTTATTAATAGCAATCAAACACAGCTGCTAAGAGCCTGAGGACTCCTTAGGTATCCAAATTTCTAAGTATTTGTGATTAGTTAAAGTCTGATACTGTGACTGAAGTGGCCTATTCAGGCAATGTGTTTACTGTGCCCACTTCACTTCACAGCTCTTGATTCTGTTCAGAATCTAAAGTGCTGTACAGCCATAACTAACTCAAAGATGGCCTCTGTTATACCTGCAAGTTCACACATCTAGACCCGATGATGATGATATATTGTATTGTACTGTCTTTATTTAGAGAGGAGAAAGATACACATTGAAAAAAGTCTCATCTACAGCTTACAGAAAAAAGTTTCTCATTACTCCCTTTTTTTCAAACAGGTAGTAATTATTTTATACTAAATCTTTGAGAGAGGTAATGTAGCTGTACTGTCTACATGGCTTGCAGTGGATAAAACACCATATTGACATCTAAACACCATATTGACATCTAAAGGAATGATTAAGGTCTAAATTAGGTTTTTATAAACCAGCTTATTAAATATTACAGCTGCATCGTCAGCTCCATATGTTGCCTCTTTTTCTTCTTCCCTGCTCCATGCTGCTCCTCTGCCTTTACCTAACGAGTTCCTTCATCTGAGGGTTGCCAAGTGGCATGCTAATTCCCCAACATCAGAGCCCTGACATCCTCCAACCCTCTCCCTGTTTTTTTCACTGCCATTTTCCTTTTTGTACTTTGCAGATTTGGGTCAGACATCATGAATCTTGTGTAAAAAGAGAGAGGGAGGGGTGCTGCTCCTCAGATCACATGACCGCCACTCGCGAATTCCCTCCTATTGAGTACCTTGGAACTTCCATCACAGCTGAGCGGTGAAACCACACAAAGGGAGGGCGAGACGTGTGTGGCTGCATCAGATGTTCAAAGCAGGCACATTAGGCGTACCTGTGGAGGACCCGTTGCGACACTTCGTTCTTTCTCTCTCCCTTTGCCTCCTTTGACCTCGGTGTCTTGACATTTTCTTTACCCTCCACTCTTCCTCTTCACGTCGCTCCGCGCTGTCGGATTCTCTTCTCGTTCTTTCCCTCTCGGCTCTCAGATCTTGCTGCCGCACTGGCAGCTGAATCGCTCAATCAAACCCTCAAACTGCTCTGCTGCTGCTGGTTTACAAGGACCACATACAGTCATATGTGCAACAGCAAACGAAGTGGTTACAGTGTTTTCAAAGGCACTCGTACCACTTAAAGGGTTCCGCGTTTCATTTTACGCTGCAACTACAATCGTCATTCTGTATTTAAAATGAGATTTTATGTCTCAGAGCAACACAAAACGGTGCAAACTCGTGAAGACGGAGGAAAATGACACATTTAGAAAGACTCATTCCCAGATCAAATCAAAACCAGTTAATATCAAAGTTCGCCTAATTAGAACAAAGGATCCATCTGTGTGTAATTTAACTTAACCAAGATTATGTAATAAAACATTATGCTCTTATAGAGCTTTGTTCAATCTATCACCCTAGAATGGAAAGAGCATGACACAACTGCAGACGACTGTCAACTGAAGATTAATAGGCCAGGCGAGAAGAGCATTAATCAGAGGAGCAGGCAAGAGGCCCCGCTCAGGTGGGTTAATGTTTCAAAAGGATCACTATTAAGTCATGCACAATAGGCCTGCAACCAACTATTTAGTTATCGATTATTCTCTATTGATTAATCTGACAATCGGTTAACCGGATAAAACAATTGGCACACTTTGCTTATTTTTCATTTAAATCTTCTTTATGTAACATTGGAAATACATTCCAAGATGCAAAGAAACAAATACTTAAAATCTTTTTTTTAAAATAAGAAAATAAACATTCCATTGACTAAAATGTAATAACAGTACAGGTGTACGATACTAGATATTTTGGTATCGACCCGTTACCAAGGAAACGGAAATGAATTGTATTGCCACTATTGCCGATACCGATTTCAATATGTTTTATTCAGGTTTGAAATATCATCAAACTTCTGACCTCTAGGTTTTTGTGTTTCTTTCTTTAGATTTTTTTTAAACCTAGAAAAGACAAAGTTTATAGGTATCTGCAAAATACTTTAACAAAATATTAACAAAATACATACAAAAATAGAAAAACAATTTATATGTGTGCATCTTTTCCTGCATAAACAATTCCAAAAAATATAATTTCAGAACAACAAAATCTTTTTGAGGTAGGGCCGAAAAACTACAATTCCAAAAATAAAATAAAAACTCATGAGAGAATCTGAAACTTGGATATTGATTTTGACCATGTTAGGATGGAGCTACTACTCATGCCAACTTGTTATCAATATTATGGATATGTTGGAGTGATCTGCTCACCTCTAAATAAAAACATTCTTTTGTGACCGCTTTATCATTTGTCACAAAGAATGTATCTGCAAGTAAAAAATGCTTCAAACATCAAAATGTGAAAAGCACATCTTTCTGCTAGACTTAACATCAAAACAGTGTAGGACTGATTACGTTTTCAATTAACCAGTTGATAATCAAATAGCAAAAGGTCCTTGATAGGAGATTTATTTATCTCCAGAATTTAAAACAGGTGAAGCTGATAATGTTCTTTGTGCAACATTGGAACATTGGAAATTACAAGATTCAAATAAAAATTTCATGAATCCTGGGTAGAACATACAGAAAGCGTTATTTTTTTTTTTTATCTTAAATGAAAAATTTACAAATTTTCCCCACAGTTTTTGGTTTAATTACTGTTCTGGT